TGTGCCTTTAATACCTAAAATGACAGTCTTCACAAATGAACTTTGCCAAAGAAGATACTTGATTTAGAAAATTGGAACTAACAAGAACTAAAATTTAAATTAATTTCCAGTGCATGAAATCTAATGACATGCATCACTTGATGAACCATGTGAAACATTCAAGATCACAAAATTCAAGCTGGGAAAATACAGATTTTGCTCACTGATAAAACCAATTTCATGGTCAGTTTCACATGAACTCATAAACAAAGCACTGAAATGCATATAAAAGCTTGTCACTTGGATCTAGTTTTCTAAATATCCTGTTCTATCCTTAACCCTTTGGAACTTAGACCTTCTGAAACTGTCCTGATTAGGTTCCTTAAACCACCCTAAACTGCCCTTTTCACTTGGACACCAGTCGCGATACTACGAACTAATAAATAGTTTGAAAGTCTTTTACATATCTCAGGACGTTTTAGGCGATTTAAGGAACAGCAGTTCGGACTGTTTCAGTCAGTCCAGGGGTGTACGGGTATTAGTATTTCACTTTTTATCTAATTTTATTTCTGGTGTGGTTTCCCCTTGTAAGTGGTGCAGGACAGAGGGCCTGACAAGGACAGCTGTCGAATTGTTCGGATGGAACGAAAAACCAAAGTCCCATGTACACATTGGCGTGCATGTAAATGGTCCTTTGGCAGTAGGCCGTAGCGCAACTGTCCGTGCAAGAATTTCCTCATAGCACACTGTATGGCGTATGCCTGTCTTCATTAGGAGGTTAAACCCCATTTCATATCTAATTTTCATCAATGAACATGGGCAGTCCATATTTATATGTACCAAGCACTAGAGGGTTAAATAAGTCAGTTCTGTCAGGAATAGGAACAGGAAAAACGATGGTGAAACCAATTTTAGGGTCAGTTTCAGGTAAACTCATAAACAAAGCATATAAAATCTTGCATTGCTTGTTCCAGAGATCTATTTAACCCTGTATTCCACACTTTTATGATTAAATGTGTCTGGTGTGTCTATTTTATGGTTTCGTATGCTTCACTAACTACAATTTCTGCAATTGTTTGTGCATTCTGGTGCCAAGATAATGAGGAAGCCAAGTGTTAATTTCCTCTGTAAGATGGGTGGGATGAGTTATGATCTTGCATTCTCCATGTCGAGATGTTCACCTTTAGATGTTATTCTGTTGATTTACCTAGAATTGTGAAGTTCTTTACCTTCCCGGTATTCTCATGCAATTGCAATTGGCAGGTAGATTAGGTTACCCAATTCGCATCTGGTTATAAATTAGAATCCACATTGGTTGCTATAAGGCCTCAGGTATCGTGTCTGGTCCTGGTGGTAGGCAAAAAAGTTCCCTCAGGTTTTTCCTGGGTGGTTTCCCCCTTGTCAGAAGGAGACAGAACAAAGGGGCCTTACAAGAAAAAGTGTCTAGTTGTTTGGATGGAACGAAAATCTGAGGTCCCGTGTAGATATTGGTGTTCACGTACAAGAACCCATTGGAATTCGAAATAAGGGTAGACTATAATGCTGGTGTCCTTGCAAAATTTTCCTCATATCACACAGTATGGCATATGCCCGTCTTCATATAGGATGTTAACCCCCCATTTCATTTCTGAGCTGAATTGACTTGAACTCTTTTCAAAAGTACATCAATTTTTTACCCAACAGGAAACCATGTACTTATACTGGCATCATATATCAAGAAAACATTAAAAACTTACGATGTATTATTGTTATGACGTGAAAATGGCTGATGGGTTTCGGTGCAGTTAATCTCCACATAATTACGTGTTCCTGTTGATAGTATTTTATTTGAGAAATGAGACCGTTATTTCAACCTGACGTTTTTATTGTCTAGTCGTAATTATGTTTTCTTTTATAAATCATTTTAAATTGCTACGGAAACCTTTTCAGTGTGGCAACAGGTCTGTAGAAATATTTCTTATGTAAAGTTGTTATTTGCTAGGAAATTGCTTTCTGTTTTTTTTTTATGTTTTTGTCAGGCGCCATGGAAATTCAACTGAAGATAAATACAAAATAAAGGAGATAAATCTTAATTTAGAAAAAAGAAAAATGTTGCACAGTATGACCTGTTTTTGTCTCATATTGCAAATTTGGAAGTAACTTGTGAGAGACATATATGCAAAAATATTTGCCCGACATTATCTAAAATTAGCTTATTTTTAGCTCATATAGTAAGTGCAGGGCAACTGCACCACACACAAACAGTTACACAAAACAAATATGCAGAAATCACAAACAAACGCATATATCAGACTAGCCATAAGCGTTGACTACATTTGGGGCATTTGGGAGGGAAACAGGCTCCCCAAATCGGCTGCTGACAATGTTTTAGTATCATGCACAGTAATAAGCAGTGGTGTGTGTTGTGCATTGTGCAGGATATACTGATTGTTTCTAGAATACTTATTATGTCCACAGACAAAATGTTGACAATAGATTACAAGAAACTAATCCTAAAAGTTTCTGGCACATACTCACATATGGTGGATGGGGTCGTTTACTTATGATGAAATATCTATATCTAGCATCAATCCCAGGAAATTTAGTTAACCGTGGAGCAATTCCCAAGAAATTGTAGCTTTCCTTGTTTATTATTGGTGAATGTGATAATGGGCATTCTGTACGTTTGTTGTATTAGCCGTGTGGCGACCATGTTGATGATAATATTTATGGTTGCAATCTGTTGGTACAGTGTAAATATACATTAAGTATGATTTATCTTTGATAGTTTTTACAACAATATAGATATATTTATACATTTGTACCTGTATTTTCATTATTATTGTTACTATGGAAATAAGAAAATCATAGATTATGGGTTGTTCTAAGTTGTTTTTGAAACATCCTGGGGGGTTGTTTTGACTGATTGGTTAAAGTTTATTGTCTGCTTCCACGGTAGTGATACTGCAGACAAAAGGTGTGGTTATTAGGTTTACTGTGTTAAAACATTATTGTGCTGTGAATTACAGACTTGCCATCTATGCATCTAAGTTGGTTTATTGGCTTAATGAAACATGGTTGGGGCTGTTGTAAGACCGAATGGTTTGAAGCATTGTATTTTGAATCATAGCCATTTTTATTTTTTAATGCAAGTACGGTCACCTGGTGTGGTAACCTGGGAAAAATGGTGACTTTGAGTCACTGAAAGAAGATAGATAAAATCATAAGCTATATGAATTCTCCTAATGAAAAATGTGTGTAAAATATCCCTCATCCCTCATAACAATGGTTTGTTCAGTTAAGTAAGATGTTAAACCATATTTCATTCCATGTCTAGATAAAATAAGCGTGAATCTAATAGATGATTAGTTGATTAGCCTGATACAAATGTGTAAAAATATGACGAAAGTTGATAGAAATTGATAAAATATTAGTACAGCAGTTGTAAAATGGGAGATAGCGATAACTTTATTTATTTTTGTTATTTGGTTGTTCATGAAAGAATGGTGAGAAATCTTGAGGAAAACTTCTGTCAGACATAGAACCTCTGCTACAAAAATAAACATCTACGCCTGTTCCTTGTTTTATCAGACAACCAAAATAGTCGCAGCTTTCGTTCTTTTGTTTGACCAGTGAATTAGTTTTATTTTTAGTTGATGCTCTACGACTTTGGATCGGGTATTAAAAATTCTGTTGCTATAATCAAATTCCTAATATAATCAAATACCTATTTTTTAAACTTTTTTTAAGCGAAATAATTAAAACACTTCAAGAACTATTTTGTACCGAAGTTGTTTTGCAAAGTGGTACATACCTATATTGAAATGTTTTGATATGATCAAATATGTTATTTTTTTGTTTTGCTTTTTGGACTTTATATAATTTGAATTAAAAATTGCTTTGACTAATCAAAGAATAATATTTTTTTAACTAAAATCTTCTCAATTGATTTATAAATGAATGAAAGAATGTAAAAACAAAATTGTGATTCTAGATGGCTTTCATCATAATGTTTACCCTGGCTGTGATTGAATATACCTGTTTCAACAAATGTTTTTTGAGCGTTTGTTAGTTTAATGGTTAATGGACGTAAAAGTTTCACAGGTTTTTCTGTTTGTTATTTTTAACGATTGATTCGTCGTGGAATCGACTAAGCATATGTTTGAGGAGGTAATAGTGGAATTGTGTCTTGCAACATCTGTAATAATTCACAAAACCCTATAAATCTTTTTATTCCAAGGTACAGAAATAACAATCATGCTGACACTTAAAAATCGAAGAAGAATATGTTGAAATGCAGCTGTCTGGGCAAAATTCTCCTTCCTCGTACTGCACATGTAACACAAAATTACCATATATTTGTGTTAATTAGACCCCCCCCCCATTCCAGTCCAATGTCCAATAGCAGGAGTTAGTTTCAGTTGATTCTGGATGCTTGTAGTTGTAGATGATGGTTGAAAAGACATGCAAATCTTTTAAATCATTGGAATGGCTTAGACATATTGAAAATTAACATACATGTAATTGCTTCTACTAAAAAGCACAAGCATTATACAAACATTTGCTTATAACAGTACAAAGGTACACGCATACAACATTACAAAGAAAACATTGCTTGGAAATAAGGGCACCTGTAACAATGTTAATCACAAATTAAGACCCATGCCTGATATTTTTCTGTGTTGTTATTGATATTTAAATACATGTACTACATGAGGTACATTAATGCTGGACATTTTGTCAGGTACAACTAGGACAATTATTTTCAGGTCTTGTTAATTCATTACCAATACCATACATAGAACAAGATATATTTCAAGTGTTCTGTGTAGGTTTCAAATTGCATGGTCATAATGATATTTTCTTTCATATCATATATTTATTGCAAACATACCATCCACTGTCTGCTACTAATATCAAGAGACCATTTTATCATCATATTTCATATCATCAAACTTATAACTGTTTGTTAAATTGTCTTGTCTGTTTTGGTTTTTCCGTTTGTATAATAATATTGATGAATTTTGTTTTTCTATTTGCAGCACCTGGAAGTGCCCCCAGAAATGTCCGAGCTCGTGCAGCAAGTTCAACAACGATCGTCGTCTCCTGGAATCAACCAGAAATACCAAATGGAGCCATTCAGGTCAGCTTTATTTATATTTTTTTTTAGGAATCAGTAGTCCGGGGGGACCATCTGTGTTCAATAGAACCTTCAGGATTTTTCAAACCCATTTTCCACATCCTAGGTCCTAGGCATTTCGAAAGTGACAAACAATTCAAGGTCCCATGTACAAGTTGGTAAAATATGCAAAGGATCCATGGGCAGTTTGAATTACAAGCAAAATTGTAAGACTTGTTATCATTGCATGTCATGGGTCAAGCCAGGGTTTTTATGGTTACCTGCCTAACCTTGTGTGTTTTCTCGGACTACTCAAGCGTAGGCATAGGGGCCACTCTCAGTTGGAGTGGGCTGAGCCCCAAAATTTTCTGTGTCACACAAATTTTCAGAATGATTCAATCATTAACTAAAACAAGTTTTCCTCAAATGTTATTGTGTGATGTATTACAGTATTCAGAGCATAAACAGCAAGCGATTTTATTTTACAATTATACAATTATATTTCTATGATATTTGGTCTCTTTCTCTGATGTTTGTGTCCGAAAAATGGACGGTTCACTGAATCTGGAGGGGCGGCACCTCCCAGCTTCTACACCTATGTACACAAGGTCCCTCCCACTTCTAAAAACACCTGTGCATGAGCGAATTATTGAAATATCCTGTTAGTGTTCAGTATACTTAAACTCCTCCCCACTCGAGGAAATCACGGTTCAATTCTCATGTTGATAAAGAAAGTTCTTCAGGATTATACAGCCTGGAATTTGAAGAAAAGCACACTACAAGGCATATGCTTTGTGTTCATGTTGCAGAAAATTGGGACATTGAAGCCCATTTCGTTTCTCTCTATTTTTCCCCCGCTTACCCTTAATTCAGCTCTTTATTTTAACTTGAATCAAAATATTTGACAATCAGATCAATTTTATATTTCCAGGGTTACAAAGTATTTTATTCCCTCACTCCGGAAAAACCCATATTTTTCTGGGACAGTCAAGAAGTTACCAATAACAACCAAGTGACCACGATCAGTAATTTAAAACCCAACGATACTTACACAATCACGGTCTTAGCTTTTTCGAGCATTGGTCAAGGTCCGATGTCACACCCCGTACAAGTTCTAACAACCCAAGGTGGTAAGTACATAAGCCGTTCGCGCGTTCTTACTATGACAATGATCCAGCATGTCATTATTTTTGAAAAACATTTACTGCAAGTTTTTTTTTTATCAAATTTCAGAGTCAGTACTACCCAGCGTTGCAATGCTGAGATGCAACTATAGGATTATCTTCCTTGCATTGATGACGTCTGCTTGAATATGAATATATATATATATTTGATATATGTTTGTTTGATTTTATATGCATGAGTATATCGATCTGCAAATTGCATGCTTCAAGTTTAATGAAATCATAGATGATGCTTAAGGCCGACCGCAAAATTATACCCCTTAAAATGAATACATCTCTTTATAAATGGAGAATCATGTGATTTTGTATGCAGCCATATTGGAATATTAGAAGTTGTTTTATTCTCTTTGAATAACAAAAACAGCAAATGAGTACAACTTTTTAAAAATGGAGATTCGTATGATTGTTGTATGCTGCCATATTTAAATATTTGATATTGTTTCATTCTTAGTACGAATATCGAAGGCTGCAGGGTAGTTCTTTATTCCTTGCGTTATTAAAATTAGTCAAACATGATTAACAGTTAGTACATATAAAAGACCCTTTAAAAAAGCAGAAATATTGTCTAGACAAGTCTGCTAGAACGAAATTCATATTGGGGGCACTGCGAGTGTAGCAAGCCGAAATGTTCCTTTTAAATGAAGGCAAATTATTATTGGGAAGGATGAAGCACTCCAAACCGCCCGCCCGAGCTGTTCCGATGGGTTTGATATATCTTCCTTTCATTCCTACTTTAAATCATAAAGCGTCAGCAATTAAGCATTATCTATGATTTCAATTTATACTGTACTGCATGAATTGATTAAAAACTGAATATTTTTTTTTTTTAGATCTTAAAATACATATATATATGCATCTTGTTTTGAAAATGACCAATAATGGAATATATTTATTTTTGTTTGCATCATTCTTCTTGTTTGAAATGTTAACCTGCATCAGCATGTGTGTGCATGTGCATGTGCATATTTTAACACATGCATGTATTAATATGAATCATGTGCATCTTGAATAAACTAGAGATGGATATGAAAATTAAATTACACACATTTTATTTTTATTTCTCCTGTATTTTATTTTCCATTCATGGCTGTCTATTATTATGATGATTTGTATTTCTGACGCATTTTCTTTTTGAGTTTCGTCAAATTATTTTTGTCGGATTGAGATGATTTAACATTAGATTGTCTCCCCTGTTTTGTCTTGATCTTTTTGTTTCGAGTTCTGTCTTGCCACCTCTTTCATGCTTTTAGAATTCTTTATGTACAAAAATATTTTTGCAGACAAACCATCCTTTTTTTTATTTTTTTTTTTTTAATTGGACGTAATGTAAATGAATTACTTTAAAATTATATTGATTGAAAACATTTTAAAATAAGGGTCTCATGTTTTTTTTTTGTTTTCTGTTTTTTATTTACTTTTGCACTGTTTTTACGTTTCATGATTTTGATAATTTTAAAATTAAAAGTCACTGCATTTTGTGTAATTTGGGTTTTCAATCCATCCATCAAGAGAGAGAGAAAACAAGACCCTGCTCACTGTTGGAGATTCAATCACTGTGTTCGACCAAAATAAGTGCATGTCCGGATCCTAATATTTGAATGAAATTTCACTGAAATAAGCACGTCTTGTCTGTAAAATTGTTGAACAATTTTGTTATTCTGTCCTTGTAAAGTTTCAGTAGGGCTTTCACTTTGTGAGGCAGTTAATTTTTTGCTGAGTCGGTTTATCTCAGATATTTTACATATAATTTTCAACAAATATGACAACCATTAGTGTTTTCCAATTAAAAATTCCAATAAACGGTATTTAATAAGTTTTAATGTTAAATTTTTGAAATAAACAAGTTGAATGCTAAATTGACTGGCTGATCAATTCTTCAGATGATAAATTTCACTGTCAGTCACGACTGTCAAATATGACGGAAACAAGAGTCTTCCATTGCGTATACATCCTTATTTGGTCGAATATGGTACAAGGTAAAATATATTCGTTTTTTTGGTTGACAATTTCATGTTATTACAGTTAATCATCCGGTGTTTGAAGGTAAGTTTTTAGAGTCCAGACAAAAAACTGGAGCGAAATGCAGGAGGTATTTTCCTACATCAGGAATCTTACATTGTCATTGTGTGATTTCTTCCAATTTTGCGATTTTTTTTTCTATGTCCATCTTGAAAGTGCATGTTCTTGAAATGGCGCTGTTTGTTCTATAATCGTGCATCTGATTATCTCCCCTTTTGTATCTTTTTACAACAGTCATGTTAAATCTCTCTTTAATCCTGAAGTCTTTGTTAAAATGGAAGACATGCTTGCAGTTTTTCAGTCCATTTGTCCTTCATTCAGTGATTAATTCATTCTTTCTTCCATTCATCCAGCGAATCATTCATTCATCCATTCTTTATCCATCTATGAACAAATTTAAGCGAAACTTTAATCTGTAGCCTCTGTGTGATGTGTAATGAGTAGTTGAGCTGGCGCCGCGGTTTGCTGCGAGCTAGCGACGCATGCTTTTTTTTTTAGTGTGATATTAGTACACTGGCTGTCTTTTTTTGACGTTTTTTGCTAATGTTAGCGCGTTCGTTCGTTAGTATTTTGCTGCGTACTACTATTTAGTGAGTTCTGCATTTGAAGTGTGATTTTTTGTAGGGGTGCGCACCATAGCTGAATGTATTAAAATTAGCTGAAAATCCACTTTCCACATTTAATCTTATCACATTTCTGCACATTTCTGATGTATTAACCCAGAAAAATAATTATTTTAGAAGTTTGATTAAATTAATCTTTACATATCTATAAAAAATTACCAGTATTTTTTATGCTGTTTTTGATATCAAAATTAAAATTTTTGATAGAAAATTATGACACATTTCACATATCACTGATAATTAAGACAAATTAATTATTGACAAAAATATATATATATCTTATTGAATTTATTTTCATAATCTTTGTATCACTGTTTCACAAACATTTAAGCTTTTTGTTAACTTAAACCAAAAACTAATAACTGAGCACAGACTTAAGCAATGGAGCGCTATAACAACTTAAATGCCAGGCGATAACATCTGATTAAATTGCTTGAGCTACTAATATTGCAAAGCGCTGAGCTGTTGCGCTAATTGTTTTATCATTGCCATGGTTACTTGTGTATACATTGTTTATTAATCATGTTTTTTACTAATCCATTTGCCATCTCTTTTTTTCATCCTAACAGTGGGGCCACCAGGTGAGCGAACGTCTCCCTTCGAGAAATTCTTCTCAATATCTTCTCAACTTGGGCACTATCAGTCTTCTTTTCTTTGGACGTGGTGACCTTGACCTTTATCTTCACCTTTGAAAATATTCAGTATTGTTCCAGAGAGACATCAATTTAAAATAAAAAATAAAATATCTTAAAGAACAGTAAATAAAAATGAGAAGGTCCACCATTTCCAAAGAAAATTTGATTTATGAAATGATCTTTTTTTATTATGAATATTTGATTAATTTATCCACGATCACATGATTTGAATAGAGAATATTTTTGCTTGGGTAATTGATTAATCTGAAACCAAGTGTATTATTAGCTCACATGTTATTAGACGTCGAACTGAAGTATTTCACTACAATTTTTATTTTATTGTAGGGCTAACAAAAGCAGTTGCCATTTTTAGTAGCAAAATGCGTGCATTGCTATATACTGCGTGGAACATTTTGGCTGCGTGCTGTGTGTGTATTTGCAAATCCGAACATGATCATATCAAGCTTAATCATTCACATAGCGAACAATTTGTTTTATTTATTTATTTTTCAAGGATTCTTCTTTAAACTAGATGTTCAGCATAGCGAATCCACATGAGCTTAAAGCAACTGACCGGACCTGAATTATTAACAATTTTTTTTTATTATTATTATTATTAAATTTTTGCTAGAAGTTTTGCAAATTGCACTTGTATGAACATTGCTCAAGGCTGTTCGAATTCGGGAAATTATTTTTGATATCTTTTAGTAGAAAACACATTTCACGTTTTTATTTAAAACCAATCAACTCTCAAGGCATGATGGACGTCTATATTTCACTAATAGAAGTCAAATTTCTTACATATTCTGACTTTCTAGATTGTTCTTTAAGGAAAATGGCTACTCTAGATTTAGAATTAAAGATTAGAAATTCAAGGTTTAAATCAGAGATTTCACTTCAAAGATATTTGATTGAAAAACATTGGGCTGTTTGACCATCGATTCAAAATATTGTGTATTTCAAAATCCTAGAAAAAAGAAAATATTGAATTAGAATTGGGAATTAATTTCACTCAAACGTATGTGAGATACTCACGTAATGAATGTGGTCATTTATTGCCGTTTTCCCAGCCTGTCCGTCATCCACAATTTCTTGTGAACACCATACAGACAACATTTATCCTTTAAAATTAAGTATAAAGAAGCCAATTGAATTTTAACAATTTCATTAATTACTTCTAGAGTTATGGCCCTTGTTTTGCTTTGGAGAAATTAATATGCATTACTTTAATTAGTCAATTGAAGAACAATTTGGAATTCCACCAATTTCTACCTAAAGATTAACAAAGCAACAAACTTCGTGGACTGCTCATGCAACTTAGCTAATGTGGGCGTATATTTAGTTGCTAGACAACCTATCTGTATTACTAACTTTGTATTCCTTGAAGGCCATATATTTTTAAAACATCAGAAAATATTACCTGAATTTTCATTTTTCTGGATTTGCTTTGAAATAGACTTTGATAAGGAACAGCTATGCTTTTACTTGCCGTACAAATAAAATATCTCTATAAGGTTACTTGACCAAAATCGCAAATTTAATTATTAAATTTGTTCTTTTTTTTTTCAGTTCCCTTCCAACCACTGAATCTGAAAGCTGATACGATCTCACCTAACGAAATCGTTGTTATGTGGGATGCTCCACAAGAAGAAGAAAAGATCGAGAGCTACCAGCTTTATTACAACGACTCACATATGAGACAAAACATCCGTATCAGTATTTCGCCACCCGATGAAAAATACAAACTGATTGATCTTACGCCAGATACTGTTTATCACATACAAGTATCGGCAAAATCGGCTCGTGGAGAAGGTCCGAAAACACCAACGGTTCAGGCAAAAACTCGTCCTTACAGTAAGTTTGTTTTGGATTATCTCCCCTACCTTATATGTTACTGAAGAAGCTTTTTCGTCCCGTCAGTTAATTCAATAAATTGAAATTCATTTTAAAAATAGTGTTAATAAAATTAAATATTACTATAAAATTCTTAATTTCATAGGACCCCATATTTAGAAAATGTCAAGTAAGATCTAATATTAAGACAATGATATTGACCCCCCCCCCCCCCCAAACCCTCTCTTAAATCCAGTAGCCTGTGATAAAGTTATTAGTGTCTTAAATCCTGTACTCTGCGATAAATACATTAAATCCTGTAGCCTGCGATAAAGTTATTAGTCTCTTAAATCCTGTAGCATGCAATAAAGTTGTTTGTGTCTTAAATCCTGTACCCTGTGATAAAGTTATTAGTTCTACGATAAAGTTATTACCCTGCAATAAAGTTATTTGTCTCATAGATTCTCTACCCTGTGATAAAAGTTATTAGTCCTACGATAAAGTTATTACCCAGCAGTATAGTTATTAGTCTCATAAATTCATCATCCTGCAATAGAAGTTATTAGTCTCTAAAATCCAGTACCCTGGGATAAAGTTATTAATCTCTTAAATCCTGTCCTGTACCTTTAATCCAGTACCCTGCAATAATGTCATAAATCAAATCAAGAAGAGTATAACAAAACCTGTTGAAAGCTATGTGAACTCCTCAAACAATTAATGGTATCAGATGTTACAAAATAGTAGGCAAATGTTGTCTCAAGCCAATGATCTACTACATGAAAAAACTTCTTAGAACTTACCAAATAAATGAGAATTGGTATCCGTTGTTCTAGAAAGAATAAATCCAACGGGAATTATCTAATACATGAAAAAGCTTCTTTGAAATAAACCAAATTTTTAATTCAAATGTATATATATTTGTATACCAATATAAAGTTATTTATTGTTTGTATTCGTTCAATTTGGATGTTGTGTGTTTTTGGATTCAATGTTGTTTTTTGAGAAAGGTATATATTTTTGATTTAGTATACATTTATATATGAATCAGAAAATTTTAATGTTTATTTTAATTTGTTATGTTGTAAATTTGTCTGTATTGTTTTGGAGGCTTATGTAATTAATGGCTTGTTGAAATGTCTTTTTAATAAGGACAGTATATTTATTTATACTTCGTCTCAATGTTGTGGTCTTCCTTGTTTCGCGAAAAATTTTGTGAAAAAAATGTTCAAATTTAGAAAAAGAATCAAATATTCTTTGGAACTTTGGTAAGTAATGAAATAGTAGATCATCCATAAATCATCATCATCATCATCAGTTTATGAGTTTGGTTTTCACTGTTTTTAGTTTAAACCATACACGTACTATAAGTGTTTTTATTTGAAATTGTTTGTGTTTTGTGAAAAAAATTGTGTTTCAAAAGTTTCGTCCAAAGCCTCCTGATTCCAAACAGACTATTGTATGATTTCTGTTTGTTTTGTGGTGTAAATCTGAAATCTATTTAGGTAGGACTGCGATTATTTGGGTTTCTGGTTGACCTATAGGCTGTTGAATAGCAGGGCCAGATTAAGGCATGGGCTTTTGAAAAGTAGGGTCGGATTAAGGCATTGGCTTTTGAAAAGCAGGGTCGGATTATGGCATTGGCTTTTGGGGCTTCAGTCCAGGTGCTTGTCACTTGGAGGGCCTGCCGAGAACAAAAATTTAATGATTAAATGGATAATCAAGGCTTAGCCTCGGTTGTCAAGTACCGTTAATACAATTGCGCTACATCTTCTAACAGTCAATATATAAATTTTTCATTATCTATTTTTGAACTATTATATCAAGAACGGTCAGCTGACTGTCTAAATCTTAAATAATGTATCTTTAAATTTATATTCTTGTAAACATCTTACGGCAAAATGAAATACTGTACTGTATACCAGGGGTGATGGGTGGGTAAAAATTTCATATATTCAGGCCACATAACTTGTCTTTTGGGAGGGGGGGGGGGACCTCACCCCACAGTACCTTTAGCCCTGAGGCCTGCAAAATCTTAATCTGGCTCCTGTTGAAAGGTTATTCATTCAGCTCAGATAGAATTAAATTATTGCGAAATTTAAAACGATATGCCGTGAAATAAGTTAGGGTCTTGATAAATTATTAGCCACTTGAATCACGTGAAATTATTTAGTTTTTGTGTAAAATTTAACTACTTAAAAATTTGGAACAAAAATGCTTTTGAACAGAGCAACCAGAACTTTTGGTTTTTAAATCGGTCTTTTTCCTGTAGAAATAAGAATGATGATTTTAACATGCGTTTATTCTGTCAGAAATGTTTTCTGTAATGACTGAATGACAGTTTGTTGCGTTTGCTTGTAGATTTGTTTTCAAATGTTGTGGAAAATCCTCCTCAGTTGTTGATTTTTGATTAATTATAAATGTTACTTTTGGTTTCATTTTATTTTTTATTTATAGCACTGTAAGATATTATTTTATAATTTGTTGTAAGCCATAGATATTTAAAGATAATCCCTATTAGCCATATATAGGGGCACAGAAATATCGTCAGCCATGATGAATACATTGTAAAAGTCTGGTAGCTTATATCTGTCTATACGTCAACTTCAGTTCTTCTTGAAAACAAAAATTCCTGCTTAAACTGGAGAAGACTAAGCATGATTCTATCTGTCGCTTGAATCAAGACCAAATCAAGCATGATTCTAACTATCGCTTGAATCAAGACCAAATCGGAATGTCAGATCTAGAGCTGTATGTATGGAATGTAATACGACTTTACCAAATATAGAATTTTCTTGGTTATCTAAGGGCAGATAACTCTCTGTCTATGGAAACAATAGCAGCATGCATGAATTACACTGCACGTGATACTTTCTTATTTTCTGTTCTTTTTATTTTGTTTTCATTTTGATTTTAATTATTTATTTGGTTATTATTTATATCATGTTTTTCACCCTCGTTTATCCCCCGTGTAGTTCCGGAAGCCTCGCCACAAGCTGTAAGCGGCCGACCACTCGATGCCCATCAAATAGCTGTTAACTGGAAGCCTCCACCCCCAGACAAACAAAATGGCCGTTTGGAAGGTTATAAGTTACGTTATATGAAGAATATCGAAGGTGATATAGAAACCGATGGTGTTGAAAAAATTCTCGACCCCAACATTGAATCGTATACGATCAAAGGCCTGGATACGTGGACAGAGTACAAAATTCAAGTTCGAGCTTACACTAAAGTTGGCGAAGGACCCCTGTCTCCGCCCATTATAGTCAAAACAGACGAGGACGGTAGGTTGATAGTCTGTGCAGGTTTAAACGTTCTTTCGCATCATAGTAACAGACGGCACCAACCTTCGGTCACCACAGAAGCATGACATGTTGCCAAGGATGAAAGTGTATGGTCACCAAATAATTACAAATGGTTACAAAGAACATCATGATGTTACCGTGGTGAGGAGACAATCATGCTATGTTAAATGATGATTTGATGAGAATTTTGGGGCTCCTTGTAGTATGGAATGTCACCAGATGAAGAGATTATGTTGAAATGGTTTTAAAATAAAACAAACTATTAGTTGGTGCTCAAGAGAGGTGGGAAGTCTGTCACTGTGATGACGAAAGGACAAAAGATATGAACGCCTGTTTTTTTTCCTCCAATGAAATTTGTCGTACCTTCTAACTTGTGACAGTTGTGGTAATGCCATTGCGTACTGACTTTAATATCACATGGCCTTGATTGACAGCTGCGTGTGAGTTTGATGATAAAACTAAGTCCTGCCCACCCCACAGCACCAATAACAAACTGTTCTAATGAATTATTAACATCCACGAAACAGTGTTTGGCTTTTATTGTTGAATATTTTAGACGTTTTGTCCCCCCTCGTTCAATATTACGTGTTTCACAATCCCTGTTACTAGTTGTGTTGATTTTATTTCCGTTTTCTGTCTTTTTAAAAAAAATCACAACCTTTATTAGATTTTTATTCACAATCATTTAACAATCATCGTAGAAATAAACAATACGTAATTGCATTATTAACGAAATAATTATGCATACTGGTATATTGGTATATATCGTGTTCTGTCCATCATCACAGCCATTTCATATGACACATCTTGACCCTGATAAACAAAACAATGCTTTTGTCGCAATTATCCAGTAGAGCTATTCATGAACATTGGATGAGTTTTATGAAATTAGTGTGACAGAATAATCTTGTTCTTGTTTTTCAAGCGGTCAAAATGTGTCAGAAATATTAAGTGGTTAATTACAGTACTAAAACCAAGATACTGAGAACAAAGGAAAGATAGAATTCATGGAATTATTAAGAATGTACTTATTTCGATCTGCGGTAGGTCAAAAGTCAAATTTTGAAACCTGTGCTGTAGTTTCTCAGATACTGCACTACCTAATTAACCAGAAGATCCTGGGGTTGATCCTGGTGTTAACCTCTGCTGTTGATTTCAATTTCCACATGCAGTTTTCCATGGCGAAACTTTGAAATCCTGTCTGTAATTTTAAGCAAATTTAGATCCAAAAATATCAATATTTTATAAATGAAATGGGTTTAACGTCCAACATTTTGCTCCCTCTGGGTTACTAATTTGGACTATTGTGGTCTATTGGTCATAATTTATGTTAACGACAATCTCTAGTACTGTTGATAACTATGATGTATACGAACACGATATACGACCTGATAAGTAGACAAACCTAACGATTGGACAATTAAATTAACTACTAATTGTAAGTATTGTTATTTAAAGTGGCATGTCGTCTTTTGATCTTGATGTCGTGTTGCATGCTCAATTTTCTAACTCTGTACTCTTCCCTTTAAACTATTTTCTTTATTTCAGAATTTTTAAAAAATCTTTTAAATTAAAAACCATTTAAAATGTTTACTGTGTCCCAATTAAAAACAAATTGTATAAACATGTGTCCTGATTCAAAAAAGATTGTATAAAATGTGCCCTGTTTCAAAACAGATTGTATAAACATGTGCCCTGTTTCAAAAAAATATTGTATAACATGTGCCCTGATTCAAAAAATATTGCATAATGGGTCATGATTCATAAAAAAAATTGTATAAACATGTGCCCTGATTCAAACAAATTGTATAACATGTGTCCTGATTCATAAAAAAATATGTATAAACATGTGCCCTGATTCTTATTCAAAACAAATTGCATAATATGTGACCTGATTCAAAACAAATTTTATATTCATGAACCATTAGTTCACACTTTGCAGCTGGTTTCACACAGTATGACTTGTGGGGGGCAGTTTGGCTCCCAACAGTATTATTGTGAAGCCATTACCAATAACAGATCTGGCTATAAGGCAGAAGCAGTTTTTCAACCCCTGTTTCGGCTTGATATGAAACCCCAAAGTGTGCCTCGACTTTAAGTTTTACAAAGTTTGGTGTATAAAAGCCCCCATAAAACCCATTTGTGTATTTGACATCCAATATACTGAACTTATTGACCACAGTAGATATTTATCAATGGATCTCGAATCATCTCTTCCCAGATAATGATTAAACTGTAAAATAAGTCTCAAAAGCTCTGATGCACGTACAAGAGGCATTTACAAAAGCATTGTTATCTGCTGATATGCAACTAAAGTGTAATGCCAACAAACTCTGGCACATGATCCCTGTCTAAATTTCTCTTTCCAATTTCCAATTTCTGTCACATTCTTATCATGGTATTTCACAAAGTTTCAAAATTAAAAAAATCCTGATTTTATGCTTGGTTGATAAAATAAAAAATTAAAGATATTAATATGAACAAAACCAAACCTACAAGAATCTTGGAAGGGGGTATGCAGATGTACTTAGGAACTAAGGAACAGGGTCCCATTGGATGTGGGGATGGAAGACATGGTCAAATGTAATGCTAAAGGGGTGAATTTTTTCACCAGAACAAGGATGGTGACGTTTCAATCTTTGATTGTTTGAAATTTGACTGTCAAGGGTTCTTTTACATGCATGTCCCATCCACATCCAAATGATTAGGTAACACAGTTTTGAAAAAAGGAGTTGAGTGGGCCACTAAGCTGAATAATTCCTCAGAGCTCAAATGTTTATATATCAATGAAATCTTGGTCAGATGAACTTATTTTGAAAATTTAGATAAAAACTTGTGAAATGCCATTGAACCTTACATTTCTCTAGCATGAAAAAACAGATCTTCCTACGCAGCTTAAAAATTTTCCCCAAAAATATTGTTAAATCTTGATAAAAAAATGTCCTGTCCTTCAACAATCAGGAAATTTAATTGTCTTTGTTTCCCCCAACAGTCCCAGGAGAACCACGAAAAGTCAAAATCGAGGTCATCAATTCGACTGCCATTTATGTAGAATGGCGTCCACCTGTGAACCAGAATGGAATCATCCGAGGATACCAAGTTTATTACGTCGAGGTCAACAGCGATGATGAACCAATTTCTTCGTCACCCTATTATGATACTTACGATGGAAATAAACACGAGGCTGTGATCACGGGCCTCAACGCAGATACGAGGATCATGGTACAGGTGGCAGCATATACCAGAAAAGGAGACGGAATTCGCAGTCGATCAAAATTGATAACAACCAAGGGAGCAGGTAGAGTATCGTTGTACTTGACGCTCATCTGAAATTTAAAATTTTCTGTATTAATATAAAAAAGCCCCTGCTTTAAAAATAAAATCACTGATCGTCTTTTGCTTTTTTTTGGACAATATCTGTTTTAGTTTTAAAATGAAGAAAATATTTAATAATATGTATCTATATAATTATTATTTTGCAGTTCCAACTCCACCCAGAAATCTCCATCTTGACTTGATTCAAGAAGATCCACCACGTATCAAAGTCACATGGCAACGACCTCGAGATACCCATGGAAACGTGGAAAACTACAAGGTCATTTGGGGTCGTTCTGGAGAACGATATGAGGAAAAGATCCTTCCTGCGGAAAAATATTCATTTGTTACGTATTCCCTAGGTATGGCTGTTGGATGCATTTTGTCAATATTGTGCGCATGATTAAAATTATTATACCAATCTTCGTCAGACAGTAATTTCCTCCGATATATAATTTAGAACTTCAGTTATTATGGATGTATTTATTTTATTTAGATTTTTAAATTTCTATATTTTTTTTGTCATGCTGCTTGATATATTGTCGTAGAGCAGAATATAATATATATATTTAGATCAATATGGTTAAGGATTCTTTTAAGGATTAAATGTATAAGATGAGGAGATATTTTGGTATCTTTTCAGATAAAGGGACAAAGTACGAGTTCCGTGTTTTAGCTAAAAATGATGTTGATTATGGAGAGAGGGCTGTTGCTACCCTTGGTACACCAGATGGAGGTAGGTGTAAAACAATTTTTTTTTTTTTATTAATTGATTTTCAGGATACATATGTGGTATAACATCCTGGAGTTCTGTTCCAGTTAAAATCTTTTAGCAATTACCAGTGCTGGATCTTGATGAAGATAGGCCCTCGGTTATTCCAATTATGACAGGGTTCCCGCGGTCCTGGAAAATCCTTGAATATCCATAAATTTAAAATTTCATTTTCAAGGTCTTGAATATCCTTGAATTTCGCGGAAATAGGAAAATATCCTTGAATTTCAATTGAGATCCTTAATTTTGTTTCAAATGTCTTCAATTCCTTTTAAATATGAGATTATAACGATAGTTGGTAATGTTTTGGTTATTTTTAAGATGAAAAATTGTAACTTTAGGCTAAAAAATGTCCTTGAAAATCCTTGAATTTGACGTATATTTATCCTTGAATATCCTTGAAAAAATGTTTGACGAAGCCGCGGGAACCCTGTATGAGCCCCTCTCCCAATCCCCCCATCCTCATGACTAGAGGAAAATGAAAGTGAGTTTTAAACACAATAGAGGAAAGGCTTGAATGATGACAAATGTTTAAGACTACAGTGGCTATAAGAAAGGTTTATGTAAATACGTAAATCAAGTACTGGTGTTTACAATTTTGATTTGTGTTTGGAAATAATTGTCGTGGGTTCGAATCGCTGAAAGTTCTTGGACTTTTTAATGTCAAGTTTCAAATAAAATGAAATGGTTGATGTGTAAAAATCATATCAAGTAGTTCAGACCTGGGGTAAAGATAGGGTTTAATTTGAAAAGATTAGTTACTACTATGTGTTAGTGGGTCATAAACCCCATCAATTCTGTCTTCAATAGCCCTGTTGGTGAAGAACAGTTAGACTTTTCCTTTTAAACACCATAACTCAATTTCTGTTTTTCAGCCCCAGCAGGTGCCCCTCAGAACTTTACAGCCATTGGTTTGAGTGAAACGAGTGTTAGATTAACATGTGATTTACCTTTTTCATTTTAAACACCATAACTCAATTTCTGTTTTTCAGCCCCAGCAGGTGCTCCTCAGAACTTTACAGCCATTGGTTTGAGTGAAACGAGTGTTAGATTAACATGGGATTTACCTGCTCGTAATTTACGTAATGGAGATATCGGCATGTACCAAATCACGTACCATAAACTATCTGATCCAATCAACGAAGAGGATCTAAATATCACCGATACATACATGGATATTCAAGGCCTTGAAATGAACACAGATTATATCTTTAAAATCAAGGCCTATACCAGTCGTGGATCAGGACCATGGAGTAATAGACTACATTTTAGAACCTTCGGCAGAAGTGAGTAATTCTTTGAAATAGGTATCACAAAGGTAGAATACTTCTAACAGTTACGAAATCTTTAAAATGTTGCTGAGTGACATTGGGTTAGACGCAGCTCTTTTATCAAGAAAGTTCCAGCTTGGTTTCCCCTTGCTGCAGCAAGAACCACCTGAAAGGACAAAGAGCTTATGTTGAAAGTTGAATCTCACTCTACAAATTTACTCTACAAATCTGGGACCAATTTCACAAAGCAACGCAAGATTTGCATACAACTCGGACATAGCTTTGTAAAAATTTTCCCAGAGTTGTTTTCAATAATTTTGAAAAATTGATGTCATTGATTATCTTTCGAAATGTTACATGACTTGAGAAATAACTAATTATAAAAATTTATCTTACAGTGCCACCTGCACCTAAGAATTTAGCTATAAGACGAACATCTCGAACTACTGTTGAAGTCACATGGGATGAACCAAACTTCCCCGTTGCAGGATATCGAATCTACTACAACGCATTTGATACGCCCGATATGAGTGTGTGGCAATCACTTGAAACAGGACCGTACACGGTAGCGGAGATACCTGGATTAGTTCCGTACACTGTTTACGCTGTACGCGTCCAGGCTAAATCGGTTGATGGTCGCTATGGCAATTTGTCTGCGTCTGTAATCTCAGAAGCAGTTTCGCCAGGTAAGTAGACAGACACATTGACATATATTTGTCTGAATCTTCAATGTGAACGTTTGTTTTTTTGTTCCATTCTATATGAAACAGAGAACCAAAGCTGTCCATGTATCTTAATGATCAGATTTGAGAAATGAAGTGGCTTTCTAGTCTCTTAAATATTAAATTTGAAATGGGAAGTTTGCTTTCTCCGAATGATTTACGAGTCTTTGAATGATCGAATTTGAGATATGGAGATTTGTTGTTCTCTGTGATTTCTGAGTCTCTAAATGATCGAATTTGAGATATGGAGATTTGTTGTTGTCAGTGGTTTTCTAGTCTCTTAATGATTAAATTTGATATATGGATTACAAGTCTTTGAATGATCGAATTTGAGATATGGATTACAAGTCTTTGAATGATCGAATTTGAGATATGGAGATTGCTTTCTTCAAATGATTTTCGATATGAAGATTGCTTTCTGCAAATGATTTACGAGTCTTTCAATGATCAAATTCGAGATTTGGAGATTTGTTGTTCTATGTGATTTCTGTAAATAAGTAATTAACTAACCCTTTATTTTAATAGACGATAAACAAGTAACTAAATATATGAAATCAAATATCATGAGACGTCATTATTTACCAGACAAGTTACACCATTTTGGTCAAGTAATATACAGATTTGATCAAATTTAATTTAGAAGTGTAAAACCAAAACAGAAGTAGATAATCTGGATGGTTTAGAGGATATGTTAATGCAAAATATCAAGAAATGTTTACCCATATCACTATCATATCTGATCATGACTTCATATTTTAGCGTACTACAATCCTATTTGGTCATGACTTCGTATTGTAGCGTACTACATGTACAATCGTATCTGATCATGATGTCATATTTTGTGTACTACTGTCGTGTCTGATCATGACATCGTATTTTAGTGTACTGCTATAGTATCTAATTATGACGTCATATTTTAGCGTACTACTATTGTATCTGATCATGATATATTTTAGAGTACTGCTATAGTATCTAATCATGACATCATATTTGCGTACTACTATCATGTCTAATCATGACGTCATATTTTAGCGTACTACAATCGTATCTGATCACGACGTCATATTTTTGCGTACTACTATCGTATCTGATCATGACGTCATATTTTTACGCACTACTATCGTGTCTAATCATGACGTCGTATTTAACAATAATAATAGATGATGATGTCATATTTCGTATTTTTAGTAACTTGTTTTAATCATGTATATCGGCACTAAAACTGAAATCATGATTAACTTCATTGTTTGTGAGTGATGTGACTAATATTAACCTTGATATAACCTCGCTAACAAAATACTAATATTTATACACAGGCTACAGGAAGGGTTTACAGGATGCTCATTTATCATTATTGGTGTCTCTAAACCTCCAGTTGTTTGGATGGGACAAAAAAACCAAGTTCCTGTGTACACATTGACGTGCATGTAAGAGATCCCTTGGCAGTTGGAATTTCGATATAAGAGTAGGCCGTAGTGCCGCTGTCCTGGCAAAATTTCCCTCATAGCACACTTTATCATATGGCATATGCCCTTCTTCTTGTTAGCTCAGTCAGAGCAGAACAGTAGGACGTTGAACCCAATTTCTATTTATTTCATTTAATTTGTCTCTAAGCCTTCCTATTCAGTGGGGGGGGGGGCCGAATGGACTAACACATGCACTTTTAATCATAAGGTCTGTCATTGAGTCAAATGGCTCTTGTTTCGATTCCCAGCTTGTATGTGACAAGTGTAGGGTCACATGTTCACCCACGTGGGTTTCTCTGAGTCCTACGATTTCCTCCCACTGCTAAAGAGCAATACGTTCAAGCGATTTATTAAAATAAAATTGAACATTGTTAGTCCCGAAATGACCCAGTGCTGATTATCTCTCTCTATTTCCCTATCTCTCTCGCATTCAATTCAGACCCATGTTGGCTCAGTGAGAATGGCACTGGTTCACCGATCCAGCGTTTCTTGTGTTGGATCAGACACACATAAAGGAACCTCGGATGAAGAATGGGTAAATGCCACTCTCTAGGCAAGACTATGTCTCCTCATTGGCCTGGTGTGTACAGGAATGTGAGAATTTTATCCCCATTTCATTTCATTGTGTGTGATTATTTGCAAACAAATCACAATATAGCACATGCTTGATGAAGACGAGAAAACCCGCTTTAAAACGTCATCAAAATAGTTATGCACATTGTATCATAAGGTCTGTCATTGAGTCAACTGGCGAAGTTTCGATTCCCCGGTTGTACGTGACAAGGAGTAGAGTCGCCTATACAACCTCATGTGTTTTCTCTGGTTTCCTCCCAACGCTAAATTATTGAAATAAAATTGAACCATATGTTAGTTCCGAAATGACCTATTTTGTGTCAAGGGGACATTAAAACCCCATTTCTCTCTCTCTCTCTCTCTCTGTTTCTCTCATACTTCATTGTTCAAGTTTTTGGGGTATGTAGCCCTGTGATCATAACAAGGAGTAAGATCTTCTGTCCAACATCATGTGTTTTCTTCAGGTTCTCCTGTTTCCATCCACTGCTAAAGCTCCCTACACTACACATGCAAATTATTGAAAACCCAATTTACACAACCCTGCCATACTTCTACACTCTTGAATATTATTTCAGGCAGCCAATCAATATCTCAATAATCAAAGGATGTTAGTCCCAAAATGACCTAGTTTGTGTCGAATGGACCTTAAACCCTCTCTCTCGCTCTCTCTCTCTCTCTCTCTCTCTCTAACTTTTCAAATTGACTAACCTTGACCCTTGTAGCCTGTGTGATCCATGAGCCACCAACCCACCTGTGTGAGATGTAGATATTGTAGTTAGTAGCGGTCACCTCATTTCATTATCAAATCGTCTTTGTTTCTTTTTTCATTTAATAGATTTTTATTCCGTAGATCGGGAAGATGTTGTTCGCAATTTCCGCGTCACCCTGCGAACTGCTGATACTGTTAAATTATCATGGGACCCACCAGAGAAGAAACACGTCAATACGTACTCGGTAAGTTGTCTTGATCAGCCCAGCCTTAATTGGACTGAACAAACATGTTGTGCCCCAACTTTCATTACATTGAATGTTGGACTGGACAAACTTGCCTTAACTTTTACTGCATTGAATATTGGACTGGACAAACTTCCTCCACCACTTTCACTACAGTGAATATTGGACTGAACAAACTTGCCTCTACTTTCACTACAGTGAATATTGCAGGGGCTTGGTGAAGCTCTGCGGCATGGATTTAGAGTTTTTAATTTGGTTTCAATAAGATAATCAAAATCAATCAGTGTCATACATATACCATGCCTAAGATATGCTTTTGAGCCCACCTAATGATACAAATATGGGTTTTTCTGCCCCCAACTGGATCTTGTTCCTCATACAAAATCAGCAATCACTCGCTATGCACTCAGGTAGAGAGGTTTTACATAGGCTAAGCTTGTTCCTCAATCCCACTCAGCCTGAATAAAAATATTATTTAAAAAGAAAAAATAGTGGTCTGGACAAACTTGCCTGTTTATGGTGTCTGGCTGTTGATGGTATACAGTTCCTGCTATGACTTATTGGAAATGTTCTTTCAATCCACCAGTTAACAATGCATTCCTCGCAACCAATCGTGTCTGATCTACGGAATCTCTATATGACCTTTGGCACTGTATCGTATCGATTCAAAAAAATTTCCAGTCCAACATTTTCATTTTGGTTTATGGTTAAGTAAGAACTGTTAATATGATTAAAGGGACATAACTCTTGTAGTCAATCTGTCAGACCACTATTGATATTTTGAATTTGATTCAAAAATATCTTGAAATTGTTTCAAAAATATCTTGATGCCTGAGGCAAAATATTTGACTGGAATTGTAGCCTATACAGAAAAAGCAGAAGCCCTTATGCGCAACATATATGCAGATATGCAGTAGGTCAGGAAATGGCCCTAGACTTGAAACCCATTTCTCTTTTCGCTGGTTTCGATTCTCCGGTTGTACATGGCATGGAGTATGGTCGCCTGTCCAACTTTGTGGGTTTTCTCCGGGTCCTCCGGTTTCTCCCGCTGCTAAAGACCCCTATGCGCTAGCGAATTATTGAAATAAAAAATTGAACCATATGTAAGTCCCGAAATGACCTAGTTTGTGTTGAGTGGTCATTAAACCCCATTTCTCTCTCTTCTCTTTTCATCATTTCTTTTGTCTGTCTATAAATGTTAATCATCAAAGTTAAACATTAATTACAGCTGAAGTACGAAGGTATTAAGAATTATCGCGAGGATGGTGTCTCAAAGCAGATCTTCCAAGATCACGTCGAAATACCTATACCTGGTCAGCTGACCATATGGACACTGAAAGACCTCCAACCCAAAATGAGATTTGAATTTAACATATCGGCAACGTTTAGCGATAATCCTGTTATTCCTGGACCAGATGTACATATATCAACTGAAACATTGATTGAAGGTAGGCTAGATATCTCAGTAAAAATAAACAAGTATAATTTAAATGTCTTTGTTGATTGAAGGTAGACTGAGAACAAAATGTAAACATGTAATGGGCAGTATAGATTGATTTGAATACTATTTAGACCAATACATTATGCAAGAGCTAAATCTGCCTATTGCAGGTCTTCTTTAGGCCTGAATGTTTTTTAAATTATTAATTAGACATGCCATAATTAACACTCGATGGCATCTGATTTCTCCGATATTAAATAGATTAGAATGGTTCAGACATATTTTGATTTAATCTACGGTGGTTGAAATTATTGCACACGTCTTGTCAAACCTTCAAAGGCTATTATCTTTGCTTGCAATAGAGTAATTTGAATGAAATTTTCAAGTTATTCATTTTAAATGGCTAGCTCTTTATCTAAATCTTACATAAAGTATCTTTAAATTTAATTTGTGTATTGTTACAGCTTTAACCTTTATTCTGGCATATTTGGGTTTACATTAAACAGGCATGTAAGAGCTAAATCTGTCAATTGCAGATCTTTCTTTAGGCCTTAAATGTTATATAAATTATCATCTAGACATTTATTAACATGATTAGAACGGTTTGGCCATTTAATTATTTGATTTGAAATTGGAGACGCAAGGCTAAAACTCGAATGACCAGTATGGTGGTTATGATCAGTGCACACATCTTGTCAAAACTACAACCATTGATAACTTTGCTCAAAATAAAGTAATTTGAATGAAATTTTCAATATATTCATTTCGCATTATCTATTTTTGAAATATTATAGCGAGAACGTCCAGCTTTTTATCTAAATCTTACATAATGCCCCATTAAGTAGGATTTTAAAACCCATTTAATTTATATTTTGAACATATAACTACTAAATAAAATAATGTCTTTTTTTTTTTAGCCCCACCAGATGTCCGATACCCTGAAGTGATTGGTGTGCGTGGCGGTGTGATAACGTTGCAGTTGTTTTCAGCATCGGAGAAGAATGGTCCACTCAGTCATTATATTCTAGCTGTTGTACCGAAACAACACTCCAACTCCAAATATCCTGCAGATTTCTCAATGGATATGGTTAGTAAATAACAACTTTCTGGATGAATTTGTTTGTTAACCATTTGATCATGAACCCTTTTTATACGCCCACATTGAAATGTGGTCGTATATTGTCGTCGCCCCTGTCCGTCCGGCTGTCCGGCGTCCACAATTGCTTGTGGACGCTCTAGAGGCTAAAGTTAATATCTGATTGACTTTAAATTTATACACAGTGTTTAAGGTCTTGAGACGAAGAAGCCTATTGATTTTCAGTGATTTCCAATAATTACTGCCAGAGTTATGGCCCTTGATCACTTTGAAAAATCTTGTGGACTCTCTAGAGGGCAAAGTTAATATCCAATTGACCTTAAATTTATACACAGTGTTTAAGGTGATGAGACGAAGAAGCCTATTGATTTTCAACGATTTCCGATATTTACTGCCAGAGTTATGGCCCTTGATCACTTCAAAAAATCTTGTGGACGCTCTAAAGGCCAAAGTTAATATCCGATGGACTTTAAATTTATACCCAGTGTTTAAGGTCATGAGACGCAGAAGACTATTGATTTTCAGCGATTTCCGATAATTACTGCCAGATCACTTGATCACTTCCAAAAATCTTGTGGATGCTTTAAAGGCCAAAGTTGATATCCGATTGACTTTAAATTTATACACAATGTTTAAGGTCATGAGACGAAGAAACCTATTGATTTTCAACGATTTCCGATAATTACTGCCACAGTTATGGCCCTTGATCACTTCACAAAATCTTGTGGACGCTCTAGAGGCTAAAGTTAATATCCGATTGACATTAAATTTATACACAGTGTTTAAGGTCATAGGATGATGAAGCCTATTGGTTTTCAGCGATTTCTGATAATTACTGCCAGAGTTATGGCCCTTGATCACTTCAAAAAATCTTGTGGATGCTCTAGAGGCTAAAGTTAATATCCGATTGAGTTTAAATTTATACACAGTGTTTAAGGTGATGAGACGAAGAAGCCTATTGATTTTCAACGATTTCCGATAATTACTGCGAAAGTTATGGCCCTTGATCACTTTGAAAAATCTTGTGACGCTCTAGAGGCTAAAGTTATCATCCGATCGAGTTTAAGGCCTTGAGACGAACAAGTATATTAATTTTCAATGAATTTTTATGACGTGAACAGCTTAATCCATGATGTTAAAAGTTTTGTATACTAAACGTTAGCATGGGGCAGAACTTGATAAAAACCAAACAAATTCTAATGAGTTGTTACTCTTAATCAGATTTTAATTATAAATGTTTCTTTCCCGAAAAAAGTAAAAATATGCAAAAACTCTTGTTTCGTTGCCTGGCAACCTATCTTTTAATTATCCCTTCGTATTGAGGGATAAATGTTATGGATAAATTATTTTATTAACCCTTTGTACTTGAAGGATAAATGTTTATGCTTTGGATGAATTTCTTTGTTAACCCTTTAAACTTGAAGGATAAATGTTTTGGATGATTTGTGTATTAACCCTTTGAACTTGAAGGATAATGTATTGAATGTTATTTTTTTTTCTTAACCTTTTGAACTTGAATTATAAATGTTTTAGAACATTTATTAGGTTAACCCGTTGAACTTAAAGTAAAAATTGTTTGGCTTGGTGAATGCCCGTCTTCATTAGTCTGGCCGTCTTCATTAGCCCAATCAAAGCAGAACATTATTACGTTCAACCCCATTTCATTTCATTATCCCGTTGGTGTACAAAAAGTAGTACGTTAAACCCCAGTTCTATTTCTTTTTATATTTAAAAATAACATTTTATGACTTTTATTTGTAGTTAATCAAGGATAAAGAGAGTGTTGAACGTCCAGCCTCAAACCCTTATATTGCTGCACGATTTGATTCCGATGCCCTACCAAATGAATTTGATTTGGGAAATGGACAAGAATATGGTTCTTTCTTCAACCGACCATTAGATCCTGACACAAAATATCGAGTGTTTTTACGAGCCTATTCTGTTGATCCTGTAAGTTTTTAGTTAACGGTTGACTTACCTGTTTTACTGGTAAAAAAGGAAAATTATATAAAATAAAATATGGAAATTATGAGGAGACATATTCAGCTGATTGTTGCTTGATAAAGATTCGCACTCTTGATGGCACTCGAGGTTGATCTCTGGGTCCTACAGTTTCCTCCGACTGCTTAAGACCCCTACGCACAAGCGAATTATTGGAATAAAATTGAACCATGTGTAAGTCCCGAAATGACCTAGTTTGTGTTGAGTGCACGTTGAACGTTAAACCCCATTTCTCTATCTTCCTCTCTCAAGATGACCACAGATTTTGAAAAAGAAGAATACTGAATAATCTACATGTTTTGTTTTGGTTTTTTGTTTTTTTCAGCGGTTATACACATCTAGCCCTTATTCTGATATACTCAGTCTTGGTGAGGGAGATGGGGCTTATCCACCATTTATAGATGGTAACGCGAATAACAATCAAAATCAGGGAGCTGTTGAAAGTAACAGCGAGAATACTCTGTTGTTGATCGTAGCCCCGGCCTGTGCTGGAGGAGTTTTCCTCATACTCATCTGTGCCCTGATTATATTCTTCATGTTCAGGTAGGTGTGACTAAAAATCTCACAGGGAGGTGTGTACACGTATTTGAGCAGGGGGTGTAATTGTGGGGTGGGGGGTCTGATCTACAGATGTAAAGTTTGGCGTGAGGTCTTGGGGGATTACATCAGAATTTGAGCAGAGGGTGGGGAGGTCTGAGGTACAGACGTAGAGTTTGGTGTGAGGTCTTGAGGGATTACACCAGAATCTGAGCAAGGCAATGGGGGAGTGTTGGGGGGGGGGGGGACCTGAAATACAGAGGTCTTGAGGGATTACTCCAGAATTTGAGCAGGGGTGTGGGGGATCTGAGGTAGAGACGTTAAGTTTGGCGTGAGGTCTTGAGGGATTACACCAGAATTTGAGCAAGGGTGTGGGGGGTCTTAGGTACTGACGTCCAGTTTGGCATAAGGTTTTGAGGGATTACACCAGAATTTGTTTTATATCAGAAGCTCTGAGACAATATTTCTGCTCATTTAGCAGCGTTTCTGTATAGGATTAAAATGAAGCAATGCTTCACACGTTTGTTTGAGTTATTTGATGAATTTAGGATAAGAAAGATATAACCTGCGTTAACAGGAGGGAGGGCCAGACAGGAAATTAGGACATTAAACCTCATTTCATTTCTTTTCATTTCTTGTTGCAGGAAAAAAGGTAAATCCAAAGGAGCCATGTTGGAACCAGAATCAAAGGTATTAATTGACGCTCCACCGTTTTTGGTTGATCCAATTGAGATGCGCAGACAACATTACCAAACACCTGGTGAGTCAGCTCTTACATCAAGCTAATTCTAATTAGAATAAAAGGGGTTTAGGGTAACTGAATACACTTTTGATCATAAGATCTGTCATTGAGTGAAGTAGCATGGTTTAGATGCTTGTATGTGACAAAGAGTAGGGTCACTTGTCCAACCTTGTGAGTTTTCTCTAGATTCTCTGGTTTCCTCCCACTGCTAAAGACCCCTACACACTAGCGAATTATTGAACCATATGTTAGTCCCGCAATGAGCTAGTTTGTTTTGAGGTGACGTTAAACCCCATTTCCTCTGATTTAAATTTTTATGGATTTAAACCCTGCCGTACTTCTTTATGACTTTATGATCTTTACTCTCTTACAAATTGTTTTAGACCATTGAAAACAAGTTTAGCTCAGATAATTTCCTCCCCCCTCTCTCTCTCTCTCTCTCTATCTCTCTCTCTCTCTCTCTCTCTCTCTCTCTCATTTATCACATTGTATGCTTTATTCACAGGTATGATCAGCCATCCACCGATACCCATTGAGAGATTAGCCGAGCATATCGATAACCTTAAAAACAACGACAACTTGAAATTCTCTCACGAATATGAATCGATTGAACCTGGACAACAATTCACCTGGGATAACTCTAATCTGGAGGTTAATAAACCCAAGAATCGTTATGCCAACGTTATCGCTTACGATCATTCACGTGTTATTCTACAGCCGATAGATGGCGTACCTGGAAGTGATTACATTAACGGTAATTATATGGATGGTTACAGAAAACAGAACGCTTACATTGCTACACAGGTGAGATGAATTATAATCTAAATATCTTTATTTATGGGGGGGGGGGGTGAGGCTGGATGGCAGAATGGTTAGCCTGTGCTCGCTGTATCATAAGGTCTGTCTTTCAGTCAACTGGCGTGGTTTATTTATGGGGGGGGGGGTGAGGCTGGATGGCAGAATGGTTAGCCTGTGCTCGCTGTATCATAAGGTCTGTCTTTCAGTCAACTGGCGTGGTTTCGATTCTCCGGTCATACGTGACAAAGTGTAAGGTTGCCTGTCCAACTTCGTGGGTTTTCTCTGCATACTCCAGTTTCCTCCAACTGCTAAATATTCTTTATGAGCAAGTGAATTATTGGAATAAAATTGAACCATATGTTAGTCCCGAAATGATCTAGTTTGTATTTGATGGACGTTAAACCTATTTCTCTTCTTTTATAACGTAGGCACCTGTTACAGCTATTGCTAATAAAATACCTAGTGTCAACCTGTAATAAAGTACCTAGTGTCAACCTGTAATAAAGTACCTAGTGTCAACCTGTAATAAAGTAACTAGGGTCAACCTGTAATAAAGTAACTAGGGTCAACCTGTAATAAAGTAACTAGGGTCAACCTGTAATAAAGTAACTAGGGTCAACCTGTAATAAAGTAACTAGGGTCAACCTGTAATAAAGTAACTAGGGTCAACCTGTAATAAAGTAACTCGGGTCAACCTGTAATAAAGTAACTCGGGTCAATCTGTAAGAAAGTAATTGTCTCAGTCAATTCAGTTTCCATTGTCCCGATAGTGTCACAATATTTAAGATTTGTCATATTTAATGTAAACCACCATGCCTCAGTAGTTAAGGCGCTGGCATTTCTCCATATGTCAGAGGTACAGGACGGAGAGGGCCTGGCATTGTCTGAGAAAATTCCTCAAAATTTCCCAGCCTGGGTTTCCCCCTTTGTCAGAGGTACAGGACAGAGAGGGCCTGGCAGGAGACAGTGCCTAGTTGTTCGGAGCACATGAAAAAACCGAGTCCTGTGAAAAACATTAGCGTGTACGTAAAAGAACCATTGTATGTTTTGTTACAGAAATGAAGTTAATTAATATATGTGATGTTTTATTAAAGGGTCCATTACCAGAAACATTTGGTGATTTTTGGAGAATGGTCTGGGAACAACGATCTGCTACTGTTGTCATGATGACCAAGTTAGAGGAAAGATCGAGGGTAAGTTTTCTATTTATTTTAAAATCTAATAGCAATGTGACTAAACTTCATTGTGTATACTGATCTTCATTAGCACACTTTTTTGACGTGGTTTCCCCTTGTCAGTGGTGCAGGACAGAGGGCCTGACAAAGATAGCTGTGTAGTCAGTAGGATGGGACGAAAAAATCGAGGTCCTGTGTACACATTGGCGTGCACGTAAAAGACCTTTTGACAGTTGGAATTGGATATAAGAGTAGGCCATAGTGCTGCTGCCCGGCCCGTCTTCATTAGCCCAGTCAGAGCAGGCCAGTAGGACGTTAAACCCCATTTCATTTCATTTGTTTTATTTTTCAGATAAAATGTGATCAATATTGGCCGTCACGTGGAACCGAGACATATGGTTTGATGCACACCCAGTTAGTGGATGTTACGGAACTATCAACATACACAATGAGGACGTTCCATCTATCTAGGGTAAGATTAGTATTATATCGCAGATGGGGACGTTACCACACCAGGATTCTGTATAACAGCATGTTGCCATGGCACCAAGGAGCGTATTATTATATTCCAAACAGAGACAACACCATAGCAGGATTATGTATAAGAGGATATCGGCATGTTGTCAATGAGATTATTGATATATTGCAGATGGGGACTAAAGGGAGATAACCACTTTAGAACATATTGGGATAATGATTGGCAATAAGTCTTAATCATACTACACTGTAATTGATGATTATGCATATTAATTTAGAAATTCCAACAGTTTAAACTTCAGCAATTGCAATATTTTTGAATCGTACCTATTGTTTCTGTAAAATAAAATTATTTTGTTTCTAGGGGGTTGGGTGGCTGAATGGTTAACGTGTGCACGTTAGATCACAAGGTCTGTCATTGAGTCAAGTGGGGTGGTTTTGATTCCCTGCTTGTGTGTGGCAAGGTGTAGGGACGCCTGTCTAACCTCAACAGGTTTTTTCTTCCAGGTTCTTTGGTTTCCTCCCACAGCTAGAAACCCCATATGTGCATATGTTAGTCCTGAAATGACCTATTCTGTGTTGAATGGACATTAAACTCCATTTCTCTCTCTCTTTATGCCAAAACCAAGTTTGTTGTACATTATTATTATTATTATTATATGTTTTTTTAGTATGGTTGTCCTGAGAAGAGAGAAGTACGACAGTATCAGTTTACAGCCTGGCCAGATCATGGTGTACCAGACCATCCAACACCTCTACTAATGTTTATGAGACGAGTTAAATGTAGTAATCCTCCTGATGCTGGTCCTATGATTGTTCACTGCAGGTACAAATCTCAAATTTATCAAATCCTCTCAATATTAATAATTGATATTACAAGAAAATGAAATGAAGTGGGAATGTCTATCTATGTGTTTTAAACTCCCTAATTTTCTGCTGTAGCTTGACAAATAAGATGAGTATACATCATTCAGCGTGCTGTGATAAGGGAAATTTTGCTCAACAGCGTCGTTAAAGCCAGCTCTTATTTCTCAAACTACAACTACCATGGGATCTTTTTTTGTGCATTACCAATTTGATCGTGAGATCTCTGTTGTTGGATCACATCCATGTGTCCGCTTGTTCTGTCATTCCGAAACGGAGCCGGTTGATGACTTGGTTGATTGCCTGTCAGTCCGCCTACTGAGGGCCGGGCTGCACACTCCTAAGTGGTGGCAGCACGCCCCCCTTTCTGAAAATCCTGGATCCGCCCCTGAGCCCTCATAAAATACCCAAAACAATCATATAAATGAAATAGAAAATTTATTATTATTATTATGTTTTAGTGCTGGTGTTGGTAGAACTGGAGCATTTATTGTAATAGACGCCATGTTGGAGCGAATTAAGCACGAAAAGACTGTTGATATTTATGGTCATGTGACCTGTTTACGCGCTCAGAGGAACTACATGGTTCAGACCGAAGATCAGTACATCTTTATTCACGATGCGTTGCTGGAAGCCGTTCAGTGTGGTAATACGGAGGTACCAGCACGAAATCTCGCTGCTCATATTCAGAAATTGACACAACCCGAACCAGGTGAAACAGTCACTGGTATGGAATTAGAATTCAAGGTAAGATTGATCTATATATTTAATTATCGTTAATAACATCGCCTTTATTCACAAACCATTTTGAAGGCGCTGATCATCATTTGAGGGATTTTGAATCCGATTCAAAGTACAAGGTTTTGAAAGTTAAATCTTGAGCAAGAATATCGGTTAAAAAATGGATCCATTCAAATGATGTTATGAATTGAAAATTCGCCGACATTAGTAAAAAGCAAGTGTAATCTATAAATGTTATTTTGATTATATGGGCCAAGATTGTTTTAATGTCTTATTATAATTCCTATTTTGCAGCGTTTAGCTAACATGAAAGCAAGTCCAAACAGATTTGTAAGTGCCAATCTTCCAGCTAATAAATTTAAGAATAGATTGGTGAATATTTTACCATGTGAGTATTTTTGGTTTTGATTTTCCGGCGTGGTTTCCCTTTGTCAGTGTGCAGGACAAAGGGCCTAACAAGGACAGCTGTCTAGTCATTCAGATTGGACAATAAAAAACAAAGTTCCATGTACACACTGGAGTGCATGTAAAAGATCCCTTAGCAGTTGGAATTTGATGAAAAGTAGGCTGAAGCGCTGCTGTCCGTAGCAAAATTTCCCTCATAGCACGCTGTATGGCATATGCCCGTCTTCATTAGCCCAGTCGTTGTTGTTAATGGCATTTTATCAACGTTCACATGATTCACGAACATTGTGTGTCAATGATTCTCCCCCAGCATAAAAACAGTGTCACTGGACACTCCAGGTTCACATGATTCACGAACATTGTGTGTCGATGATTCTCACCCAGCATAAAAACAGTTTCACTGGACACTCCAGGTTTTTTTTGTTCACATGTGTTTTTCCATATAGAGACGAATGTAATCCAGACACTTTGACTGTTAAATTATTTTCTATGATATGGGGAGTCGAGTGATAGGGCACTGGCCTCTTAATTCAAATGTCCTGGACTGATATTTGTGCCTATTCAAAATGTGTCTAGTTGTTTGGATGAGACCTTAAAACATATTGGAGTGCATTTAAAGAAAACTTGACAGTTGGAATTTGAATAAAAAGAGAAGGTTTTATTTGTTTATTTTGTGTAAGTGTTAATATATTGTAATATATTGTGTTACAGATGAATCAACACGTGTCTGTCTGCAGCCTATTCGAGGTGTCGACGGCTCAGATTATATCAATGCAAGTTTTATAGATGTAAGTTAAGTTAAAATTTAAGTAGTGAAATGGTGGCTGGAGTATTTGTTAAGTTGGGACTGGAATATTAGTGAAATGGAGGGCTGGAGGATTAGCAGAGATGCTGAAGTATTAGTCAACTTGGGGCTGGCAAAATAATGCCATAGAGGCTGGAGTATTCGTGAAGTTAGGCCATCAGAATTAGTGGAGGGGCTTGAGAATTAGTGAAATGGGGGCTGGAGTATTTGTCAAGTTGGGGGATGGAGAAATAGTGAAGTGGAGGGGAGGACTGGAGTATTCCTGAAATTCATTTACTCCTCAGAAATCGAAATGATTATATTTTAGGTCTGTTTTTTGATCGCTGTAGATAGTTAGTGTCATTTTATTCCAGGAAAGTTTGTATCAGCTTCTGTGATAATTTGTATTAATATTTGAATTTTGTTTTGTTTTTGTTTGCAGGGTTACAGGTATAGGAAAGCTTATGTAGCTACTCAAGGTCCTTTAGCGGAAACTACAGAAGATTTCTGGAGAATGTTGTGGGAACATAATTCAACAATTATTGTTATGTTGACAAAACTTAGAGAAATGGGTAGAGTAAGTACAAGTTTTTTTATTCCATTATCTTCTAAAATTTAGTTGAACTGTGAAAAGAATCTCAAGATTTTCAACCCCATCGCATAAATTGTTGCCTAGTCGCAACTAGACCAAGATTAGTCGAGTTTTTTAAACCCGATGGGCTGAAAAGTAGGGTGTTGCCTAGTTATTGCAACTAGACCAAGAAGAATCAAATTTTTTAAAACATTGGGCTGACAAGTAAGGTGTTGCATAGTCAGAAGTTAGGCTGTGGTAAGGGCTTTAAAAAGGGCTTTAAAAAGGCAACTAGACCAAGAATAATTTGAAGATTACCTGGTCAGAAGTGGGCTGTGATAAGGGCTTTAAAATCGCAACTACACTAGAAATAAACTTTTTTCCAAACCCATTTGGCTGACAAATAATTAGGTGTTACCTAGTCAGAAGTGGGACAGTGGTAAGAGGTTTAAAATGTTGTTTCTTCTGTAGGAAAAATGTCATCAATATTGGCCGAGTGAGAGATCAGCACGCTATCAGTATTTTGTTGTGGATCCAATGACAGAGTACAACATGCCACAATATATATTACGGGAATTCAAAGTCACAGACGCAAGGGTAAGATTTCATTATTTAATATTTAGAAAGGAGTTCTTTTTCAATAGAAGTGATGCAGGACAGAGGTGCCTGGCAAAAGAACAGCGTCTAGGCGTTCTTTTCAGTTGAAGCGATGCAGCCTGGTTGGTGAATGAAAGTAGAACAATAAACCCTATTTCATTTCAATTGGAATGGGATCATAAACAGTTATCTCCCTTCCATGATTTGTTATATTCTACATTTCTCATGTGTTTGGGGCAAACTGAGGTCACCATGTGTACACATTGGCATCCATATATGGCAGTTGGAATTCCATAAAGATTAAGCATTTAACCCCATTACATCATTTCAGACTAAAAGACTTCAATAGCAGGACCATCAAATGCTATACAGAAAGTCAGCAAAGTTTAGGCAGTAACGAACATGCCATAACGAACATGCCATAACGAACATGCCATAATGTGCATTATTTTCAAAACCCATTTAAATAATTTATGAAAAGTTTTAAAATATGTTTTTTCTCTTCAGGATGGTCAGTCTCGTACTATACGACAGTTCCAGTTCACCGATTGGCCAGAACAGGGCGTGCCAAAATCTGGTGAAGGTTTCATTGATTTCATTGGTCAGGTTCATAAAACAAAGGAACAGTTTGGTCAGGAGGGTCCAATTACTGTACATTGCAGGTGAGATAACTGGACAGTTTGGGGCGCATTGTTGTTCTTGGGCGTTGTTGGGCATTGCTCTTTGAAAAATCCAAAGGCTTCCGCAAATTCATGTACGATCGACATGAAAATTGGCATACTTGTTCCTTGGACAATTGTGCATTGATTGATAACTTTGATTTTTGATATGATGTCACAATTCCAAGATGGCTACACGATGACTTCACTCAGGTGGGAGATACTTATTGTAGTCCGGTTGGGGAGGTTCGTGAATTTCCGGAGTCCACAATGGTTGCTATATATATATTTATTTTGGGGAATACTAACCCTAACCCTACAATTAGCATTCATCCACTCAGTTTCTGGTCCATACTACGGTGGTACTTGTTATAATGTCCATTGATTCCTAAGGTTGACTGTGCAACCAACCCTACCCCTAACCCTTGTTAAATACACATGCAATAGGGGTGATGTCCGCGGTGGATATATTCTAGTATCTATAGTCTACCTGACAGTTGAGAGAATTAGGGAGTCGTGGTGGCTCTGTTAACTGTGCAACCAACCCTACCCCTAACCCTTGTTAGATACACTTGCAGTAGGGGTAATGTCAGCAGTGGATATATTTTAGTATCTTTAGTCTGTATGATAGTTGAGAGAATTAGGGAGTCATGGTGTCTCAGTGTGTAGAGCACCTGCTCACTTACCAGCAGGTCATGAATTCGATCCTGATGTTGGGAGGGAAAGTTACCCAAAGATGCTTCTGACCAGTGCAGTGGTATTGTATGAAAGGTGTGGCAAAGGAACGGTGTCTGATTTTGATTAGCATGTAATAATTTGTTTATTTATTTTTCAGTGCTGGTGTGGGTAGAACTGGTGGATTTATTACACTCAGTATTGTTTTAGAGAGGATGAGGTATGAGGGAGTAGTCGATATGTTCCAGACGGTCAAGATGTTACGAACACAGAGACCAGCCATGGTACAGACAGAGGTATGTTTCATTTCGTTTTCATTAGCATAAAAGAACCCTTGAAAAATGGAATTAGCCTGGTTGATGCAGAACAATATTAAAGAGGCATTATTCAAAAGGTCAATCTGCCTCTAGCTGGTCTTTACACTTAAATTGTTACATAAATTATTCATTATTCAAGACCATAATAAACTCTTGATGCCATCGGATGACTCCGATTTTAAGTAGATTAGAATGGTTCGGCCAATTAATGATTTAATTTAAAATTGGAGAAGCGAGGCTAAGACTTGAATAACCAGCCCTGTGGGTACGATAATAAACAATCAATGCACACATCTTGTCAAAATTACAAACTGTGATTACTTCGCTCAGAATAAAGTAATTTGAATGAAATTTTCAATATATTCATTTTGCATTATCTATTTTTGGAATGCAATAGCAAGAGTGGCCAGTTCTTTATCTAAATCTTAATTACATAATGTATTTTTAATATTAAATAAACATGTCTGTCTGTTTGTCATTGAGTTAACTGGCGTGGTTTCAATTCCCTGGTTGTACGTGACAAGGAGTAGGGTCGCCTGTCCAACCTTGTGGGTTTTCTTCAGGTTTCCTTCCACTGCTAAAGACCCCTACGTGCAAGCGAATTATTCAAATAAAATTGAACTTACCTAGTTTGTGTCGAGGAGTGGTTAAACCTCCCTCCCTCTCTCTATCTCTCTCTCTCTGTACAGTTCACAATACATATTAATTCCCTTTTCCTTTTATGTAAATCTTAAATTTTTTTGTTTGTCTATTTTCAGGATCAGTATCAATTTTGTTATCGAGCGGCTCTGGAATATCTTGGCTCGTTCGACCATTATGCAAATTGAGGATTTAAGAATGTTATTTTCTAGTCGGCTCTCCGTTTAAAGACTTTTTATAAAAGTTGCTTTGCGTGTGAAACTGACAATTAACCTTGGACTAAATCGTATTTTGACGTCTTGTCTTGACGCAAGGTTGTTTCCTCCGTAAAGAACACGATAGCTTTAGAAGTGATGATAATTGTGACTTGATGATGGGATAAAATTTCCAAATTACATAACATTGACTGTTGAAGTAATGACAGAGTTATCTGACTTGATTGTATTTGTTTACCGCCACCAGAGGGCTCTGATCAGCGTCTTCTTCCATTATTTTCATTGAATTGAAATTACTACACAATGTGTTTAATCTTGGCTCATGGTATTATTGCAACGACCATATTTTTGGCGTGAAGAGAGAAAAATGTGCGCTCAATATTTTAAGGAGCTATATATGTTGAGGTTTCGTATTTATCAAGGTGTGATTTGAATCAAATTTTTGGCGTATGTAGATGATGTTGTTCTTTCTTTTGTCATCGTTATGTTTTAATTGTACATCGTCAAAATACAGGGAATTTTCACAAAGTTACGCTAATTAATCATTGACGAAAAGACGTAACGTCATCAACGTGAATATATATTAGATCTGTGCTGTGTGTAAAGAAGATTTCAAATTGAAAAAGACTTACTTATGCCGTTAAATGGATTTAATTAAATTGTGCATACGTCAAAAGGCATTTACATCATAAGATAATGCCATGGAAGCTTATTGCAACTTTGCATACGTCTAAATATTTTCCCAACACGCCAACTTAGAACTCCGTACTTACAACATCATAATCAAAATCAGATAATTTATAGTCATCATTTACATCATCCAATTAAAATGCTCACAAAAATAGAAGACGAAACAAAAAAACGGAACAGCGGGACAAGATATTATATAAAGTGAGAATGTGAATTCGTGGGCAGTCGTTGCAGACGGAAAGTGGAATTTGTATAAAGACTTTAAAATGAATAGAATTAAAATGTTGTATTATAAGATACGTTACTATAATATAAATATATATATATATATATACATATATGATATACCATAATCTAATCTGTGTATTTAGACTCCGTATAAGGGGATCGTTCATTGTGCTGAAATGAAATGAATCAAACTTTAAGAGAATTTTTGCATGAATCTGAAAATATTGTTTTAATCGTAGCTCGTAATGTTAGATGCATTTTTCATCATTTTTTTTCAATATTTTTTTTTTTTTTTTTTTTTCAATGCATACTTGTGGTTCTATATTTCCATTGTTGACTTTTCATCTGTTTTCTAATGTTGCATTTCCTTGTTAATTCATTCGTTGACTTTTTCAGTGGTTCGTGAGATTATGAATCCAGTTCTTAATTCGAAATTTTGCAGTTTAATAATTTTAATTGTTCAATTTTAAATTTTACAAAAAAGTTTTGTACGTTTTTTCTCTGTATTCAGATTTAAAATCTGAAATTTATATTTATATCTGATGTGAAGAGTTTTAAACTCAGTAAAAGATGAAATGGAAATTAATATATGTTTCCCACGTTCTATTTGATTTAGCGACAAATAAATAGCGTGTCTGTCAGGCTTGGAAATAAATAGTATGTCTTATTAGGCCTGGAAATAAATGGTCTTGTCAGGGCTAGAAATAGTTGGTCTTTTCTGGGCTGGAAATAAATAGTCTTGTCAGGGCTGGAAACAGTTGGTCTTGTCAGGGCTAGAAACAGTTGGTCTTTTCAGGGCTGAAAATAAATGGTCTTGTCAGGGCTGGAAATAGATGGTCTTGTCAGGGCTGGGAATAGTCGGTCTTGTCAGGCCTGGAAGTAAATGGTCTTGTCAGCCCTGGAAATAGTCGGTCTTGTCAGGCCTGGAAGTAAATGGTCTTGTCAGGCTTAGAAATAGTTGGTCTTGTCAGGCCTGGAAGTAAATGGTCTTGTCAAGGCTGGAAATAGTCAGTCTTGTCAGGCCTGGAAGTAAATGGTCTTGTCAGGGTTGGAAATAGTCGGTCTTGTCAGGCCTGGAAGTAAATGGTCTTGTCAGGCCTAGAAATAGTCGGTCTCATCAGGCCTGAAAATAAATGAAATTATAATGACAAAAGACCTGCCTCAGTTGAATTCAGCCTGATGTTTATTAATAATATAGATTTTAAAGTTGTACCTAAAAGACAGGCACCGGAGAGATTTTGCCTAACAAAAGCCAGTTGTTTTAAGTGTTGGGTAAATTTATTTCCAGGCTTATTATCCATAAATACTAGAAAGATGACAATCTGAATATTTATTTTAGTTTAAAATTGAAAAACCCCTTACAATATCAATGAAAATTTGCTATTGAAAAAAAAAAATGGTTATTAAACATTGTACTACTACGTTGCAGTTTTGATAAATTTACAATATGAAATTAAAACTCCAATTACTACATCGTCATCTAAATGTACATTCATCTCGTCGTCATTGTAAAAGAGGATTTCTCTTCTCTTTATCTCACTCGTGCTCATTTGTTACTTTCATGTAGTGCTTACCAAATTACCATGGAAACGGAATCAAAACGTATATTATGGATCGTACAGGTACCTTCATCATTTATATTGGTGTATTTAATGTCGAAGATTAATCAAGGTTTATTCGTCAATTTTAAAATAAAGGTTGTGTTTAAAAGCCTTTTTGATTCTTGCCTTGTACTTGTTCCATAGTTAAAAGAAAATCTTCGTTTTAATCATCATGTTAAACATTCATAAGATCTTAAAGAACATCATTTTATAATTAAATTGTTAAAACCAAAGTTTTGATACACTTGTGACTACTTAATAACATAACATCGTTAAGTTGTAATAATTAATTACTTAAATCAAACGAATAAAATTACTTTTTGTCCCTTTTAAAATTATATTTTGTTAGAATCTCGTCAGAAACAGTTATGAGACAAGAGGTTTAGAGTTAAAATGGCTTGAATTTAAATAGAGTTGAGATATCTAAATTATTTGTCATTTGTTTTCATAATTAAAAGATAAAATGATTTGATTTTAGTACAGTTGAAATACCTAACTTGTAACGAAACTTCAAATTATTTTCGATTTGTTTTCATAAACGAATACATGTACATTTTAGCAACACAACAGCTGGCGGATGAAGCCTATTTATTTAGTATTTATCAAGATATTTGTCACTAAATTGAATGGCGAGAGATTTTCTGTGTGCTTGATTTGCGTATATTTGATGTGTTACTTTTTTACGAAACAATTTGTACATTTTATTATTCAGTATCTCATAGTTTATATTAGTACGGTTCATTTTGTATCATATTAAGTCTATCAGTGCCACATGCTGGCCGATTTGGGATGATCGAAATTTTGGAATATATGTTCATCCATGTTATCGAAAGCTTGGCATGTGACCCCTTTATGAAAAGCTGTCGCTGATTGTTTTTCAACTAGGGGTCACATGACAGGGTTTCGAAAGCACAGGAGTAATTTTTCAAGTTCAGATTTTGGAGATTGGGTTGTGGCACTTAAAGGGTACAGAAATATATTTAACAATCATCAGTGGTTGGAAGAAACAAAAGGAACCAGCTAATAGACATTTTAGCTGTTCCCGTTAACTCCCATGTTGTAGTATAATTGTTCATTACATAATAATATGCTTCACAACTGTAGGAGAAATAACAACCTACAGATGGCACAATTTTTCTTGAAAATAAAAAAACGAATTGAAGTTTAGACGTTTTACCTACGTGATGTGTTTTGTTGAAAATCCAATTTGTTTTTGATTAAACTGTATAGAACAGGAATTAGGAAACTTCAGTATATGGTGATTGGAATCAAAAATGATTTGAGGGGACAATGAAATACATTTAATTTATATTTAGTATCTCTGTATAGTTTAACAATGGAGCTTTTGTAACAAAAAAAAGTTCCGGAATGAATTCATAGGGGCCAATTGTATTCTTCTTTCTAGTTTGGTGTATAGTTTATAATGTAAATAATTCAATTTAAATAATTTTATTTTAGGACTGGGTTAGTCATTGCAACACAAACAATAGTACATTAAGAACACTTTTCAGTTTATCATCGAAATATGAAGGAAAATGGCATAGAAAATAATATGTTTAAAATATATGTGTAGGAATATTCACTAAATATAATTTCCAATTTGGCAATGATCTCAAATTATGTGTCTCATTTGTGCTATGGAGTTCTAATAATTCGTTTGGCTTTGATGTGCTAAAATATTAAATAATGCGGAGAAAATGCAGAGTTAACCACTGCTCAGGCATAGTTAAATTTCATTGGACATGGGACATGCAACATTCAGCCCACTGGTTTACGATACGATTTGATCTTACCCCGAAATAAACTATGAAATGTTGACATGTATTTGATAAATCAAATTCCATTGTTTTAATAAGCCGACAGTTAATGTTTGGTTTAATCCAGTTGTAGACCTTTTGTGGTCATGGCTACATAATATCATTCTTCAATTGTTAATTTTACACCTCTAGAACTTGAATTTAAGGTTATTTTTTCTTCCTTGTGAAATTGTATAAAATTAAATGTGTGTATATACTGCCCAAGGACTTAGTAAATGTTTTAATATTTTTTTCACCGTTGATGAATTGTACACAGAATATGAATGGATACAAAAAAATGATCTTTTGATGGACCCATGGACCTTATAATGTATTATAAGGTCCATGATGGACCCAAGAAATGATAACTTCAAAAAATGGCAAAAATTTAATTTTTATTGAGCACAGTATAAATACTTAAAAAAACAAATTTAGAGACTGAAAAATTCAAAATATTCTCTGATATTTTACTTATTACCTAATTATAACTATTCTTTTGTTGGACATATGAACTTCCTAAATATCTGAGAAGAGTTATCTCCCCTGTATTCAGTAGTAGATGGGTTATCCCCCTTACATTAAGTCATAGAAGGGTTGTCTCCCCGGCAACTTAAGTACAAGACACATCATGCTTAATCTTGGCTTACCTGTCAGCTCTGCGGAACGCAGGGGGAACCTGCTGTTCATTACCGAAACAGTGATTAAATTGTTATCTCGAAGTAGTAATTTATTTCCAACAGTGTAAATATAGTCAGTAGATATTGTGTTAGTGAATATAGGTATTGTCTATTTTCATGCCGGTGGGGGGGGGGGATCAGGTCGGTTGGAGAGATTGTTTACATACGGAATACTCATCTATTGGGATTCCTGGGTTGGGGCTTAAGTTTAGTATCACCTAGTTTAAATACTAATCCCGACCCTTGTGGTGTTCTGTTGTGTATGTGGGAATTGACAACCTATCAAACCACCTGACCTCCCCTACCGGTCTGAAAATAGACTCTCCTGTGAATATAATAACTTGGTGAATTATAACACTCAGATGTCATACATACTGATTGTTGTATATAGCCTAAAATATTACCCACAATTCTACATACACTGGCATCATGATATGGATATTAATTGGAGGTCGAATTTATAGTCATTTTAGGATTTGGGATGTTTTGTGCAGAGACTAGGCATAGAAAAAATTGTTTTTGTTGTAATTTGAAAACTGTCGGGGACATTTGAAAAAGTGCCTGGCATATTTAATTTTGTGCCAGGCGTGTACTACAAAGATTAATAGAAACACTGATATTTGACAAATCTGTGTCAACAAAATGACTGACAACAGAGAATTTGCACCTGACAAAACCTGAATTTGTGCTTGACAGGTGACTTATTTCAAGACTGTACAGAGAATCTAACTTGGTGTTAATCGGCAAATCCAGGGTCGGTATCCACAAAAATAGAAACTAAACAATGTTAAGAATGCAAACCTTTCATTGGCTAAGATCTAAAGCTTTTAACTCTCAACCAATGAAAATGGCTGCTTCCTTGAAATATTTAAGTTGATATGTTTTGTTGTTGTTAATTATTGACTCTATAATAACTTCTTTAAATATCTGAACACGGATGCCAGGACATGTGGAATTTGGGTTACTACAGTTGTTTTGTAAAATAGCGTTTGATATTCTTTATTGGGCTTAATTTTCCTTTCCTTTCTTAAATGGACCTGGATACACTAGTCTTAAGTAGCACTTGTCTACCAGTTTTTCAAGTTATATAATTATTATTGCATGAATGTGTATTTGTGTATTTTGTACATGTTATCAGATCATATGAAAACAAAAAATTACAGCAAATAAATGTCTAAATAAAACGTATATATGCTCTATGTATATTCTTGTCTCTGTTCATTTTTGATTATTTTGATTTTCCGGCGCAGTCCTTATCCGGCGGGGGATCACGGTAGCTAAGTGGGTAAGACACTGGCTCGCTAGCCTGGATGTCGGGTGTTTGATCCCTGCATTGGCCGAGAAAGTTCATCCAGATTTTCCAGCGTGGTTCTCCCTTGTCAGTGATGCAGGATGGAGGGGCTGACAAGGAAAGCTGTCTAGTCGTTCGGATGATACGAAAAACTGAGGTATCGTGTACACATTGGCGTGCACGTAAAAGAACGTTTGGCAGTTGGAATTCGATATAAGAGTAGACTGTAGTGCCGCTTCCCGGGCAAAATTTCCCTCATAGCACACTGTATGGCATATACCCGTCTTCATTAGCCCAGTTTAGGAGCAGAACAGTAGGATGTTAAACCCCATTTCATTTCATTTCCGGCGCAGTCCCGCCTTGTCAGTGGTGCAGGACGGAGGGCCTGACAAGGACAGCTGTCTAGTCGTTCGGAAGGGACGAAAAAACCGAGGTCCCGTGTACACATTGGCATGCACGTAAAAGATCCCTTGGCAGCTGGAATTCGATATAAGAGTAGGCTGTAGTGCCGCTTCCCGGGCAAAATTTTTACCTCATAGCACACTGTATGGCATATACCCGTCTTCATTAGCCCAGTTTAGGAGCAGAACAGTAGGACGTTCAACCCCATTTCATTTCCGGCGCAGTCCCGCCTTGTCAGTGGTGCTGGATGGAGGGTCTGGCAAGGGACAACATAGTCGTTAGGGTGAGACGAGAAACCAAGACCCCGTGTACACATTGGCGAGCACGTAAAAGAACCCTTGACAGTTGGAATTCGATATAAGAGTAGGCTGTAGCGCCGCTGTCTGGTCAATATTGCCTTGATAGCACACTGTATGGCGTATGCCAGTCTTCATTAGCCCAGTCGCAGCAGAACAGTAGGACGTTAAATCCCATTTCAGTTCATTTGTTCAATTTTGAATTAATACCTCGATATCCAGATGACTAATTCATTATTTCAGTTTAAATCTTTGATCCAACCGTAATGATTAGACCCCTTTCTTTGCCAGACTGGTCAATTTTGAGGAACTTTCTTGACCAACACCAAGATCGAACTCGAGAGCCATTAGCATACCCACCTTCCCTTGTAGCTCCCACAACATAGAAAAAATGGAACAATTGAAATAGAGCAAATAAAAACATATGTTCTAAAAAAAAATCCTCTAACCTTGTGGGTTTTCTCCGGGTCCTCTGGTTTCCTCCCACTGCTAAAGACCCCTAGTTTGTGTCGAGTTGGAGTTAACCCCCCTCTCTCTCCCTCTCTCTATGTCTCTCTCTCAAAAATTAAATTACATAATGTCCCCCATAAAAGTCAGTTGAGGGATTTTAAGTCCGTGGAAAACTACGATGTTGTGAGAGGGGTTGGATGGCCGAATGGTTAGCGTGTGTACTGTATCATAAGGCCTGTCATTGAGTCAACTGGCATGGTTTCGAATCCCCAGGTGTACGTGACAAGGATTAGGGTCGCCTGTCCAACCTCGTGGGTTTTCTCCAGGTCATCCGGTTTCCTCCCACTGCTAAAGACCCCTACGCACAAGCAAATTATTGAAATAAAATTAACCCATATGTTAGTCCGGAAATGACCTAGTTTGTGTCGAGTGGACGTAAAACCCCATTTCTCTCTCTCTCTCTCTCTCTCTCACGATGTTGTGAAAGTGGGATCATTATGAAGAATAGCCGGTCAAAACTATGATGAATTGGAGGTGGTTAAGGAAGCAGAGCCACTGAATGTTTTGGATTCTTTTTAGTGTTACAGATGCTTAGAATTGGAGTTATCTTGGTAATGCGGTCATTAGAATATCTCTGGACATGATAGAAGGATTAGTCCACAGCATAGAAAGGATATATAGATACATAAAATACCCATTGCAGACAACATGTAAGTACATAAGCTACCATATAATTATGACCTACGGTGAAAGTGAATTCAGAAATAACGAAATGGTGAAATAACGACCTGTCGATTGACCCTCTGTTCAACGAGTAGAGTCGTTCAGTGATCTTTGACCATTCATTGCTAATATGATGACCCTGATCTCTAGTAACAACTGATATCCAATAGTTCGATCTTAAAGTATAACTTCCGGTTTTATTAAAGAGTCAAATTGGAAGGGTTTTTCGCTTTAATGGGTAATTCATGTGACTATACTTGATAGTGCATTATATCCTCTTTTTTGAAATGACCCAGCGTGGCATCACTCGATATTACGTGATGACGTGACTTGACATAGTTTGATTACGGTGTTATCTAGCTAATTTGAATGTTTATATTACATTCCAATAGGACGTTAAACTCCATTTCATTTCATTTAATTATTTCTATATTACATTCCAAATAAGATCATGGAAACCTTTACCAACACATAAGTACTGCTTCGAAGTTCTAGTTTTATAGTCTATTTTATTTTAGTCTCGAATAATCTTTCTATAAACTTGTATTCTGGCTGGCTTGGAATGTGGCCCTCAAATCACGGAGAAAGATACATCTAGCTATATCATTTAGTTTTCAAGCGATAGTTTCGTACACAGTTATCACAGTCAAAGGAACAGTTCATATATGAACCGATGACTTCTACCAATAAAGATTCTAACAGTTTCATTCACAATTTCACAGAAGTCGAAGAAGTGTTTGGGGTTTACTCGGTGGAAAATTGATGTCCCAGAGTATGCATAGTCCATTAAATCTTAGCCCACCATTCGGTTGATTTGGTTGAAGTCGTCCACCAGTAAAGATGTAAGATAAAACGTGGTTAATAAATCATACAGTAGTCTAGTTCCTTTAGGAAAGGTCTCTGATCGGACGGTACATCGGCGTACACCGAGAGATCAGAGACCGTTCGCAAAGGAACTAACAGTAACTAACAGTAGTCGTCAATTTATTTTGAGGACATTTGACCAATTTCCCAAAATTGGGTCCCGCAGCTCACCAACTTAAAAGTTTTCCGGGCAATCTGGTAGCAGGGCTGTCAGGTGACAGGTGAGGCTATTTTTATTATCCTGCTACTGCAGTGTATTCATATAGGCCTATCCTGTATTTTTGGGCCCCGCATTTTCTACAACCGACCCTATCTGGCAAGTGTCTAGTCGTTGAGATGGGACGAAAAATCGTGGTCTCGTGTACACATTAGCGTGCAGGTTAATAAACCTTTGACACAAAAACGTTACGATTGCAAATTAAAAAATGACAATTTGGCATAAAGAACGTTATATTATCAAATATCGATATAAATTATTGTCTTATAAGTTGAAATAATGGTATGATTTGGGTAGATTTGGGTAAATCGTGCTACCGCACTGCATGGCTCAGTCGGTGCAGAAAAGTAAATGACATTAAATCCACTTTATTTCCTTTTATTTCAGATAAACAAAGGGCTCTAGGCCTACGATAAATTGAACTTCGTGATTTTATGACTATTTCATCTTTGTTTTGTTTGTTTGAAAAGAACAGATAAATACAGAAGACCCCAGGGGAAATGCCATGCACCAAGAACTAATTAGTGCTTATAGGATAATCGAACGCTATTGTGACAAATCGGTGGCACTCGATGATACCGCGTCGCAGAGAGAGAGAGAGAGAGAGAGAGAGAGAGAGAAATGGGGTTTAACGTCCACTCGACACAAACTAGGTCATTTCGGGACTAACATATGGTTTAATTTTTTTTCAATAATTCGCTTGCGCATAGGGGTCTTTAGCAGTGGGAGGAAACCGGAGGACCCGGAGAAAACCCACGTACAACCGGGGATTCGAAACCACGCCAGTTGACTCAATGACAGGTCTTATGATACAGCGCGCACGTGCTAACCATTCGGCCATCCACCCCCCCCCCCCCCCACCGCGTCGCAGTACATGCATAAAGTCTGTTTTCTATGTACACGTTTCCACGGCGTTACCGCGCACGTTTTCACCGGTTACACGGAAACGGCCCCATTACTTTTGCAAGAGATCGACTTCTTTTTGGCCGGCGAAATCGCGCACATGGAATGTTTTGTTGACTTATGACCATTTTAAACCGAGAGAAATTTGCAAGTAGAAATTTATACCCAATTATCATAACCAGAAATAAAATGGTTCTTTACATCCTACTGGTCTGCTACATGTCCGGTTTAACCTTGTTAGGGGGGGGGGGGAGGAGGCTCAACCCAAGATGCAGGAACCCACCCCACCCTCTAGATCCGTTACTGGGCTACTGAAGAGACAGGGCATATATAGAATGAAGTCCAACAGCTCCTACGAGCATATACATCGAGTGCCGATCATTTTGACACGAGAGAGTTTGCAAGCACGTAATGATCATCATAAATAAAACGCGTGTTCCTACGAGTATAAAAGTCTTAAGCCACCCAGGGAGTCACGGTGGCTAAGTGAGTAAGACGCTGGCTCGCTAGCCTGGAGGTCGCGGGTTCGATCCCGGTGTTGGCCGAGAAAGTTCATCGGGATTTTCAGGCGTGGTGTCTCCTTGCCAGTGTTGCAGGACGGAGGGACAAGGACAGCTGTCTACTAGTCTGGTCTATGGGATGAGACAAAAAAGTCCGGTGTAACGTTTATCCACGCATTCGTAGGCAGTGCGAACTTATGCCACACTGATCCGCAGTGAATATTCGCTTGGCCGCTACAATCACTGATAAGGATGACATCGATGCGACTTAATGACTACAAAATATTAACTTTTTTCTTTCGACAAATTAAATTCTGAAACATTTTTTTTTAGTATTAGAAAAATAAATAAAGGTGTTTGAAGTATATCTTGATAAAAAATATTCCATATTTAGCGTAAATAGGTACAGAAAATAGTACGCGGAGGCGTAAAATGGGTAAAACGATATAATTTTGCCCGTACCAGTTCATATTACTACGTTCAATGTAAACAACGCACGTGTGACCATCAATTTGACGTTTTTTTTCTGTTTGTCTACTCTGAATTCTTTCAGAAGT